TTATGAGTCTTGTATTGCTCTCTATTATGTAGATTGTAGACTTAACAAAGATTAAAATAAGTAAGTGTAAGTGTTTTCTAACTTATTTGGATAATTTTCGGACGGAAATTTTTTCAGAAACTTTCTAGGGAAAATTTCTCTAGCTTCGATTATTTCTTCCCGGAAAATTTCCGTTTTGGAAACTTTCCGGGACAGAAAATTTCCCATTGCCCATCTCTACTTCCGGCTATGTCTTACTTTCTCATACTACCTCGTATATTTATTTTTGTAATATTTGGCAATTAGGATAATTTGTTTCTTGTGCCAAAAATAAAAACACTTTGGATGACTACATTTCTTTTTGCATCCGGGAAGAGGTGGTGGTATTAATTTTTAATAAAATCTACGGTCTCCAAATCAGCTGACCTCGCAGCTGACTAACTAAGTTAGATGTTGTTTGAGTCACCAAAAAACTAAAAATTACATTCCACTTATTAAAATTTATTTATTTATTTATTTATTTATTTATACTGCATACATACAGACAAAGGGACAGTCCAATTAAACGTATACAGTTGAGAAATGTTAGCTAATATAAAAACAAGTTAAAAATAATGTATAAACAACCAGACACATGCAAAATACAATGTAAAAAGAGAACAAAGAAAGGAAACAAAAAAATGTCAGTTAAAATGTACATATAACACCCAATCGTATACGTATCATAAGTATGAGAGTAGCTTAGTCCGACTAATATTAAAAATATCAATGTCGTATATTCTTAACAAATTATTCACCGTACACAGACTTTGTTCTAGGGGTGAATTAATATTAAATATTTTAAAAAGTCTATATCTAGTTCGCATTCTCATATCGGGTACATTAATATTAATAGACGCCAACAAATCGGGGACAACAATCTTACTATGTAAAATATTATAAGCGAACAAAATCTGAGCCTTTTCTCTTCTCCTATCCAAAGAGGTCACGCCAAACTCTGCTCGTTGATGTTCATATGATACCATGAACGGGTACACTCCATACTCTTTAACATATATTGACCTCAAAAGCTTCTTCTGTATTTTCTCTATTGTGTCCTTGTTACTGGTAGCTTGTGGGTTCCAAATCACACTGCAATACTCCAGTTTTGATCTTACAAATGTATTGAATAGCCTTATAACTGTGTTAGATTTAAACTCTTGGCTAGTCCTAAGAACAAAACCGAGCTTCCTGTAACATTCAGCTGTTAAACTTGTAATATGCTCATTAAATGTAAAATTTTTGCTAAAAATTACACCTAGGTCCCTGATTCTATTTAGAGGCTCTATCTCAACACCATTCACCATATATTCTCCCAATATAGGGTATTTCTTCCGTGTATATGATACCAGTTTACATTTTGCCTCATTTAAAGCTAGGTCGTTATCTTTACAAAACTCAGAAACAGCTGTGACATCACTTTGCAATTTTGCAACATCATCCCAACATGTTATGTTAAGGTACATCTTCAAGTCATCTGCATAGAGTAAGAACTTTGCATGCTTTATATAATCAGAGATGTCATTTATAAATAAGATAAAAAGCAGTGGTCCCAATATGGACCCTTGAGGCACACCGGAAGTTGACACAAAAGTTTCAGATTCTGCACAGTTAAATTTCACAAAGTTTATACGATCAGTCAAATAAGTTCTAATAAACTGTATCAAATCTACGCTAAAAGAATAAGAGTTCAATTTCCATAATAGAATGTTATGGTTGACTCTGTCAAAGGCCTTCGCCAAGTCAGTATAAACAGTATCAATCTGGGAATTATATAAATTTTCTGTAATGTAGGCACTGAACGTACATAAATTAGTAGCGGTAGATCTTTTCTTTAAAAAGCCATGTTGTTCTTCTGACAATATTTGTGTCACATGTGTATTTATCCTATTATATATTACCCGTTCAAATATTTTGGATATTGAGGGTAGGATTGTTATAGGTCGATAGTTTGTAATCAGACTAGTGCTTCCTGATTTGTGTACAGGCGTTATTCGCCCTATCTTAAAGAAGTCTGGAAATTTTTTGGCCTTCAATGCTCTGTTGAATATAGTTTGCAATGGTAATGCAATAATGTCAGCATACGCTTTAAAAAAGTATGAAGGTAATCCATCTACACCTATTGAAGTCTGTGGTTTCAGCGATTTTATTGCATTTATTATTTCATTCAGGCTGATGGTCCCTATATTTAAATTATCCAAGTTGTAATCTTTACATGTACCATTTCTTTGTAAGGGAGTATCTACAGAATACACCAACTTGAAGTACTCAGCAAATGCATTTGCAATATCCTCTGGGCTTTCAAACAAATGACCATTGTAACAGAAATTGTATGAAATGCGAGAACTGGATCTTTCATTTCTTATATAATTCCAGAAGTTTTTTGGGTCAATGTTTATATTATTTTCTATATTTAAAATAAAATCTCTTCGACATTTTTTAATTAGACGCTTCACCTCCTCTCGTAGGTCACAAAACTTTCTCGCAGATTCTATACACTTTTTGGATTTTTTAAACAAGCGATGTTTCAGCTTTATTTTATTTATGAGTTCCACTGTAAACCACTTAGGATAATTGTTGACTTTATAGGATTTTTTGTAAGGAACACACCAATCCAAGATACCATATAAACCATCATAAAACTGATCCACACATTTGTTTACATTTTCAGATGTAATGATTTCTTCCCAAGTACATTGTCTAAGCAGATGATATAATTGATAACAGTCACCTCTCCCGAAATTGTAATTCCGTTTATAATTATTGTCAGTTAATCCACCCTTATATCTGTCAGCAACAACGTCAAAAGTGATAACAATCTCCAAAGGAGGGTGATATTGGTCAATTGCAACGAGAGATGTATTAGAGTGAGAAACTTTTGCCTCAGTTAAATTAGTCATCACCAAGTCGAGCAAGTTGTTCACCCGATTTAGTACATTGTTGACAATATACAGATCATATGTACATAGGATTGTTTGAATAATTTTGGCCTTGTAAGAACCGTTGCCACAGTCATAGCGCATATCGTTTATTTCAGGCACATTAAAATCACCCAAGATGAACAGATTCTCTGAATACAGCTCATTAATGACTCCCAAGGAATCTAAAAACGTTTCATACACTGTTAGATTAGAGCCGGGTTTAATATAAACACAACAAATTGTCGCTGTAAAATCATTAGTCGTCAGTTTAATGGCTATCCACTGAAAGTTTATATCGTTACTCTGACACACTGATAGCACTTTAAATTTTTTCTTAATGCAACATAGAACTCCACCTCCACGCAGAACGCCAGCTTGTTCATACATCTTGTCATTTCTGAACACCATATATCTGCCATCACAAAGTTCTTGGTCATAGATTGAAGCATTGAGCCAGGTTTCAGTAATACATATAATGTCAAAGTTGTTAGATAGTATGTTTTCGTAGAAAGTTTTTACTTTAGACCTTAATCCTCGCACATTTTGATAGAAAATAGTGACATACTTTAGTTTTTTTTTACTAGTTGTAATTTCTGCTTCACTATAGTCCGTACCGCCGCTTATAAAAAATCCTCAGCACCTTGAGTTATAGTCTGCCTATTCTGAATATTGGCACTCGTAGCTTCTTTATTTATTAATTTCCGACTAAAATTAAAACGCCTTATTATTATACCTTCTGGCCAATAATTTTCCTGATTTAACTTTTCTAATAAGTGAAATGGTGCCCCTATTTTAAATGATGAAAAATTACCTAAACTATTCAACTTCTCTACAATAAAGGTTTCATTATCATTATCTTCTTTGAGATATTGCAGCCAGTGGTCACATGTAACATTTTTATTTTTAATCTTTCCTATATAGAACCATGCCATTTTGGGTTGGGCAGCTCCGGAAAGATCTTCATTTGGTAGATTTCTCCTACTTGTTCCTATTTTCTGAGTGGCCCCATTTTCCAAAATTGCTGCATCTCATGTTTTGCTTGTAAATGGTATTTCAAATTTTACTTGACAATATGTTTGTATTTAGTCACATTTTTTATTAAAAAAAATGAATTTAAATACAAGCCGTCTCCTAAAAATGCCGCAAGCCGTAACTCCGTCATTATTGGTCCGATTTAAAAAAAAACAAAAAAATTATATGAAATGGCTCTAAATATACTATAGAGTGAGCCTATTGGGGTGTATTTATTATTTTTTTTTTGAAAAGCGATAGTCAACTTTATTTCAAATGGCAATATATGTTTTTTTGTATATATTGTGCAGAATTCTATTCTGAATTTAGTGATATATATAAAATCTACTTTTGTGAAACATGTATTACAGAAATAGCATGAAAATATTAGTCAATACCGCATTATTAGTGCCCTGTCGCTTAATTGACAACAAACATACTTTGACTAATCATGTATGCCTGGAAAACAAAAAATAATACAACAAAGCAAGTAAATGTCATTTTATCTTTCGTGTCTCAGTTTTTTACACATTATACCCTTTCTGTGTCATTTACAGTAGGTTATATATTGAAATAAGCTCAACAGTACAAAATAAGATTAATAATCAGTAATTGACAGACATGATTCAGGTATACTTTCGGTGTNCGAGACTTACAATATACAAACGCTACACAGACAATAAGACAAAACGCGGAGAAACGGTTTGACGTAGCCGCTAGACATGACAATCCCCTCCTCAGACGACGACGGATGGGGCCCACCTACGAAGGCTGTCCAGGCCTACACGAGATGAGGCAGAATAAAGAGGGATAATCCCCCTCGATCCTAAATCATTGAGGCCAATTTCTAGCCATGGAATAATGGCGCGTGTATTGGCAACGATAAATAATTGTCGTGTCAATTGTCAATTGCTGATGCTGTCATCCACGTATATATATGCATTGCCCGGTCATTTATAGTGCAGAATAAAAGTTGTTCTTTCATTTTTAAGTGTCGAGTGATTGTATATTGAAATAGTTACATATACGAATGGATTTATTAGTACCTTATTAAGTAATTAATCTGTGTGATCGTTGAAATTTGACTTGATAAAATACATTGTAATCATGTTAACAAAATTTGAAACAAAATCTGCTAGAGTTAAAGGGCTATCCTTTCATCCTAAGAGGCCTTGGATATTAGCAAGTCTACATAATGGATGTATCCAACTTTGGGATTATCGAATGTGCACATTGCTTGAAAAATTTGATGAACACGATGGTCCAGTTCGTGGTATATGTTTCCATAATCAGCAACCGTTGTTTGTATCAGGTGGAGATGATTATAAAATAAAAGTGTGGAATTATAAGCAAAAACGTTGCATATTTACATTACTGGGTCATTTAGATTATATCCGTACTACTATGTTTCACCATGAATATCCATGGATCGTTTCGGCTTCAGATGATCAGACTATTCGAATTTGGAATTGGCAGAGTCGAACTTGTATTTGTGTTTTAACTGGACATAACCACTATGTAATGTGTGCTATTTTTCATTCTTCTGAAGATCTTTTGGTATCTGCATCTTTGGATTCAACTGTTCGTGTGTGGGATATTTCAGGTATTTTATTATTTAAATATATAATTTAAGTTTATTTGTGTCTTATCAATTCAAAAACTAGGAATATCAATTATAATAAACTAATTTGAATTATCTCACAAAAAAATGTATTTTTTATTTAGTTTAGAATTAGAATACTTTATTGACGCAGAGAAAAAAGGGTAATTATTTACTTTAGTGGCATAGTGGAATAAAATGACTAAATGTTTTATTTTATAATGTAGTATGTGATCAAATAAAAATATATTTAATGCATCCATGCCACATCATTAATTTACCTTATTAATTGTTGTGTATTGAATAGGTATTTGAAATTTTATTTGATGATAAATAACAAAGGACCCCACAGAATAATTTTGACAATTGTCTTTCGACAAACTTTTTTGAAACTTTGCTATGTGATAATTCTGATCGCGTGAATAAAAAAATCTCAGTGGGCACAAACTTTGAGTGTCCTTTGTTTTAGACCTACATGAATTTTTTTAGTCTTACACTGCAGCAGTGATTCTTGTTTGTAAAATTACGTTACATTAATAGTAAATGAACCTTGCCCAATCGATTAGAGATGTTTTCAACTTCCGGTTCAGACTGGAAGTAGCCTAATCGAACCAGAAGTCAGTTTTTTCAAATAAAATGATTTTGATTCAACACTGAAAAATGTGAAACTTTTGTTTAAAACTTTTTTTTAAATGCATGTTTTGAGTCCTAAATGATCTTTGAAGTTGGCCTCATGCTGATTCTCATGAAAGCTCTTTCACCTTAAGAAAACGAATTTTTATAAAAATATGCTCAATTTTAAGCAGAATACATTCTTTCATAGGGTTATTTTCTATTTACGGTTCCCACCAGAATGGACCTAACCTAACCGAAAATTCCTTTTTTTTAATTGGAACAAGCATAGGACATTCAGATTTTGTGCCCATTGAGACTTTTGACCCATGCAATCCGAACTATCACATAGCAAGTTTCAAAAAAATTTGCCGAAAGCCATTTTCCATAAGGAATCTGCGGGGTCCTTAGGGAAACTCTCTAATACATTGAGGAATGTCCAATCACTTTAATACACGAATGTGTACATAGGCCTTTATATTTATTTAGGTTTAAGAAAGAAAAATGTCGCGCCTGGTCCTGCTGGTCTAGAGGAGCATTTAAAAAATCCTGGAGCGACAGATTTATTTGGTCAAGCCGATGCAGTGGTAAAACATGTTTTAGAAGGTCATGATCGTGGAGTGAATTGGGCAACTTTTCATCCTACATTGCCTCTTATTGTGTCTGGAGCTGACGATCGACAAATTAAATTGTGGCGAATGAACGACTCCAAAGCATGGGAAGTCGATACATGCAGAGGTCACTATAATAATGTTTCATGTGTCCTTTTTCATCCCCGGCAAGAGTTGATTCTCTCAAATAGTGAAGATAAAAGCATTAGAGTATGGGATATGACTAAACGCACGTGTTTACACACTTTTCGAAGGGAACACGAAAGATTTTGGGTAATGACTTCCCACCCTAACTTAAACTTGTTTGCAGCAGGTCATGATACAGGAATGGTAATATTTAAATTGGAACGTGAACGCCCTGCTTATACTGTTCATGGAAATTTATTATATTATGTAAAAGAGCGTTTCTTAAGAAAATTGGATTTTACCACATCGAAAGATGTCCCTGTTATTCAAATTAGAGGCGGAGGGAAGATACCAGTTTACAAAATGTCCTTTAACCCTGCAGAAAATGCAGTTTTGCTATCTACTCGTACCTCAAATTTAGATAACAGCACATACGATTTATATATGATACCTAAGGAGCAGGAACGTGATGATCATGTACCTGAAGCAGAAAGTAAGAGGTCATCAGGACTTACAGCCTTGTGGGTAGCTCGAAATAGGTTTGCTGTTCTTGATAGAACCCACCAATTAGTTATAAAGAATTTGAAGAATGAGGTGACTAAGAAAGTGCAAACCCCAACATGCGACGAAGTGTTTTATGCTGGTACTGGAATGCTACTGCTTCGTGATTCTGAACATGTTACATTGTTTGATGTTCAACAAAAGCGAACCTTAGCTCAAGGTAAATGATAATTATGTATATATTTTTATATATTTGATCTTAAACACATATAGATCTAAAACGATTTAACAGAAGTATCAAATAGTGGAGGGCAGAATCGAGTATTTTTTAGAATCGAGTACTTGATTCTCAAATACTTTTAAGAATCGAATGATTATCTGAGAATCAAAAATCGAGTGCCAGATTGAATGTTGAATGAAGAACGTTATAATCGTGGTGCGGGGGTATATTTACATGTTATTATATAGTTTTGTGTAAAATTATTTACTTAAATTTGCTGCTTTTTAAATACATTTAAAATATATTATTTTAATATAATCTTTTGTTTCCAATAAAAATTTTTAATATAAATAATATGTGTGTAGATATATAGAAATTTGAAATTTTTTCTGTTTATGAGCCAGCCGTTTGTTTAAGTGAATGGTATTTGATAACCACAGAAAATTAAATGTATTCTTTCGATTTATTTGATATGCTAAATCAGTAAGTAGTTGATTTAAATTCATTGGAATATTTTCCGCACTCACATTACGCATGATATTCGCTAGGAAGCTTTACGAGTCATAAATTACGACTATCAAGAACTAAAATTATTTGAGTATTTTCAGCAAGTATCCGACAGTACTTTTAAGAATCGGATAGTACTCAATTTTCCATTCGAGTTCTTCCATCATTCACACAGGGTGATTCAAATTCCCAAATTGTTTATGAAATTTGATCTGAGATATTTCGAGTGCACTGAAAAAACTGGAAAGTGCTATTTTTTATTTTACTATGGAACTTACTTGTTTATACAAATAGTTTAATGAAATTTGATTTTAAGATATAAGACATTTTACTGATTACAATGATGAAGTCATTTCACTATAATTATGTTAATTTTCTAAACAATATGCCAGACATTTATGAGATTTTAAAGACCACACGATTAAATTTAAGTGGTGTTATTTTCATTTTACACCATTGTAGGTTGTAGGGTATAAAATGCTTAGAAACCTAATCTGATTACACTATCTTACTAAACAAATCAGTGAAATATCTCGGATCTAATTTCAAAAGTTTCAACATAACATTGTGCAATTTTTTTGTGAATTGAGCATATTGAAGGTAAACCACTGCCTCAAATTTTGTTCACCATGCTTCCCCTACCATAAATAATTCCCGGTACTTCCTAATACTCCCTCATACTTTCTATTTACTTCCTAGTAGGTACTTCCTCAGTAGTTCATCATACTTCCGGCTAGAGATGGGAAAATTCCCAAACTATGAAAATTCCGATAAAGTTTCCATTGAAAATTCCGGAAATTTTCCGAAAATTAAAAAAAAAAAATTTTGGATTTGGTATTGTGTTCTACATACCATCAGCTTTCCAAAAAGACTAAATACTTATATACATTTTTATTTATATTGGTATAAATATTGGAAAAATATAAATTATGTATTAATCATTCGTTAGAAAAAATTGCATGTTGAGGGTTAAAGTGCATAAACACTATACAGTATACAATATTTATCTTTATTTTTTAACAAACAAATAGTAAATACATTAAATAATTATACTAGTTTTAAAATGTAATTATACTTTGGTTTAACTATCAAAATTCATATTAAATTTGGAAAGGAGGCAATTTATGAGTAGGAGCAAGTAAATGTCATTTTATCTTTCGTGTCTCAGTTTTTTACACATTATACCCTTTCTGTGTCATTTACAGTAGGTTATATATTGAAATAAGCTCAACAGTACAAAATAAGATTAATAATCAGTAATTGACAGACATGATTCAGGTATACTTTCGGTGTAATAAAAATCGTGGTGCAGGAGTGTCTGTATAAAGAACTATTTTCTCACAGAGATGTTCCAAAACCACATAGATTTGTAAGACTTGGAAGAAAATTTGTGAAACTATGGTGCTTTTAAGAAACCAAAGCGAAAAGAATGCTAATTTAATGAAAACATCAAGTTCGATGTTCTTCTTAACGTTGAAGAAAACCCAAGAACTTCATTAGGGAAATTTCTAATAATAATAGAGTATCAAAGAGAAATGTACATGCAGTATTGAAAAAGCACAAATTCAAGCCATACATTCCTCAAAAATTACAGGCAATAGAGTACGACTACAATTTGTGTCTTTATTTGTTTTGAGTTTAATTAACGTTATTTCGTGTTGAATTTTGTATAATGGTTAATGTATTTAATTAAATTGTTTTTTTTTTTTAATTGATATTCATTATATTGTTTCTTTTCTGTTAACTACAAAATTCTCTTTGGAGTTTTATTTGCTTTGCTATATTATTTTTTGTTTTTCATGGCACAGATGATTAGTTAAAATACATTTGAGTTAGTGGCCGGCTCCAAATGCGGTACCGACTAATATTTTGTCGCCTTTTCTGTAATAAATGCTTTACAAAAGTAAAGTTCATATACATCATTGGATTCAGAAAATAAATCTGCACAATAATAAATAGCAAAAAAATTATACTGCCATTTGAAAAAAAAAGTTGACTATCGCTTTTCAAAAAAAAAAATATATAGTAAATGAGAACTAATAGGTTCGCTTTATAGTGCATTTAGAGCCATTTTATTTATTGTTTTTTAAAATCAGAGTAGGTAAATAACAGAGTTACGGCTTGTGGCATTTTTTAGGAGACGACCTGTATATTCAGCGGTAGTAACATTTTGGACTACCTTAACCATTATCATAAATTCTCTAAAATTGGAATCCTTGTTTGTGAAATAAGTTAATAATCAATCAGAAATGTTATTAGAACATGATATAAAAAAATGGTAAATAAGCAGCACATAGAATATATATATAAGTAGCAACATATTGAAACATTTTGGACCTCACTGTTTAAAGCAAATTATCGGCTAAAACGGTATCATATCCCCAGATTTTACTTATGTTCTGGTGCAAATTGGTGATATCTGATTAGGCATTGATTATACATTGTATTTTTAAAAACACTTTAAAGCACATAGATCTTGTATTTCAAAGTAACATACTATTTAAAAGTATTTCCTAGTTTTCTTCAGAAAGGGAGTAGGAATAATCTTATTAAATCCTTTCAGTTTTCAAAACTTACTATTTTACATGGAATATATTTTGATGTAGTCTTGTAAATACAAAAATTTTTATTTTAATTTATTTAAAAATAAATAGCTGCAGAGCATTGCGGCCCTTCAGTTTGTTTTGTTATGTCAAAGTAAAACCAATAATGTGCATTGTATGTGAAATATGTAAGTTCTGTGTTGGTACCTAATTTTCGTTTGTCAAATGCCGCTTTCTAACACCTATTATATACAAATAAATAATGTTACTTACATATTTTTAATGCCCCCCTGAGATTTGTGGATTTTAAGTACTTATGGGTACCAGATACATAAAATTACTATCTTTTTATTAACTGCAAAGCACTTACAAACACACAAACATAACGGCCAACAAGCGAGCAGCATGAGACTACAATGCTAAAATACTTGTACGTTATGCATATGGAATTACATTATTTCATATTTATTTGTTACCTCTCTTTATATCCTTCACACTTCCTCTTTATTTCCCTATAATTTCTCATACTTCCCTGTATCTCTCCATTACTCCTCATATTTCCCCCTACTTCCCTATTACTTCCACATTACTTCCCCCCTCCCCACCTTGTATCTATTTCCTAAGTGGTTCACCTTTCGGGGCGTGTTTACTAAATTGTTTTATGATATCCTTGAAATATCCTGTTGAATATCTATTTCTAACCTAAAACATTTAATCAGTGTTTTTATGATTTTGAAAATTATATTTATATAACTATAAATTGGGGGTTCGTTTTGTATCACATAATTATTCTAGTAAAAATCAACAAATGCCGTTATGTTGTTTGGTCTACTGATATGGCTTATATTGCTCTTCTATCGAAACATAATGTTACTATATGTAACAGAAAGTTGGACGTGTTATGTTCTTTACATGAAAATACAAGAGTGAAATCAGGAGCATGGGATGATTCTGGTGTATTCATTTATACAACTAGTAACCATATTAAATATACTTTAACAAATGGGTAAGTGAGAACATTTAATACACTGTGTTCATAAATAAACAAATACAGGGAAGGTATGTGCAGGGAACCCTGAAGTTAGTTGCAAAAAGTATATGCTTAGGGATGTGGATATTTTTCCACTAATTTCGTAAATGCTATTACTTCAGTCAAAAAAGTGATCTTTATACTATGATGCAAGTACTACCATAGTAAATTTCATTTATATCGGACAGAGTGTTTTGGAGTAATTTGGAGAAACTAAACTTTCATGCCATCTAGCAGCTAAATAAAGCAACTTGGGATAGAGGCAAGTTGCCTAGAACATAACGTTTTATTGACCCCTACACGCACAGACCCTGTCAGTTCATATACGAATTGCCATATATCTATTTAAAATGTTTTAGTGATCATGGTATCATTCGTACACTGGACTTACCTATTTATATCACCCGTGTAAAAGGAAGTCAAGTTTTCTGCTTAGATCGTGAATGTAAACCCCGTATACTTACAGTAGATCCAACCGAGTACAAGTTTAAACTTGCTCTGATTAATCACAAATACGAAGAGGTACTTTATATGGTTCGAAATGCCAGGTTGGTGGGTCAGTCTATAATTTCATACCTGCAACAGAAAGGTTATCCAGAGGTCGCCCTACATTTTGTAAAGGACGACAAAACTCGTTTTACTTTAGCTTTAGAATGTGGCAATATTGAAATAGCATTGGAAGCTGCAAAGTCACTAAACGACAAACTTTGCTGGGATCAACTGGCTCAAGCTGCTCTTTGGCAGGGTAACCATCAGGTTGTTGAAATGTGCTATCAACGAACCAAGAGCTTTGAAAAGTTATCGTTTCTCTATTTAATTACTGGAAATTTAGAAAAGCTAAGGAAAATGACTAGAATCGCTGAAATTCGCAAAGCAAGATCCTCTCAATATCATGGAGCTCTTCTTTTAGGTGAGCTAGTAGGAAAAATTAAGTATGTACAAACAAAATAATGTTCAATGTTTTTTAGGAGATTTGGAGGAACGCGTTAAGGTTTTAAAAGCTTCAAACCAACTATCATTAGCATATCTTACTGCTGCTACTCATGGGATGAAAGAGGAAGCTGAACAATTGAAGGAACAAATTGGAGACACTAAAAAATTACCTGATGTCAACCCTAATGCTAAGTTTTTAAAACCTCCACCTCCCATACAACAAGCTGAATCTAATTGGCCTTTATTGACTGTGAGCAGGGTAGGTTTTATTTTTTAAATGAAAATGCACAAGGTGTTTCTTAAAAAATAATGACAATAATATTTTTAATATTCTAAGGGTAAAGTTTTACAAGATTTTACAAGTTTTTTATGACTAAAAATGAGAAAAAAATGCGTTTTTTTCCTATTCATTTATTTTACACATTTTAAAAAAAATATATTTAAATTTGGTATATTCGACATTTAATTTGGTATATTCTGAGGACTATACTACTATATGACGCCACAAGATGGAAATAGATAGATCTCCCTGTTTGACCCGGAGTTTTCGGGCTTTGATGGTACATCTTAGAGCTCCGAGTTAACATGTCATTTCTCCAGGTTTGTTTTCTTTGTTGCGGAAAAATCGTAATTTTTTTCGAAAACATAGGTCTCCCAGATTTCCTGATTGCGCCTTTTTTTAATTTTTTTTTGACATCGATTTCTTCAAACAATTTGTCTCCCAGATTTCCTGATTGCATAACCTTTTTTTTTTCGTGTCATGTCTCCGGTTCTGTCATGAAATAGATCTGGTGACCCTAGCTGTAACACTGATTCTTCTTTTCATAATTTACAATTTCTCTATTTATCCTAACATTTTTTGATTTTGTGAATTTTTTATATATTTACCTGTGTAATATCAGTTAAAATGTGACTTAAAGTGAATAATAATATCTATATAATACAGGGTGTCCATTAACTGTGAGCAAAATATTCGAGAGGTAAAATGGTAAAAAAATCATCAAAACCCTAAAGCTCTGAAGGGCATAAACAATCCTATTAAAGAATTTATAATAAAGACCATTAAACATTTTTATGAAGGTCCTCTGGCTCCAAGTCGATAAAATTAACCGTATCTGATTTTGGATAAGTTGGAATAAGAAAAATTTTTTGTAGATTTTTTGTAACACATTTTAAATTGTTCACTTTTTGAAAACTTGTAAATAAAATAGGTAAGAATAATTTTCTTTAGGGCTTTAGAATTTTTACGATTTATTTTGTACAAGCATTTATCACAAAAATGTTTAACAAATTTGAAAAAAAAGTTATACAACAATAATTTGGGTTACTTGGTTTTTGAAAAGATGTCAGAACTTACATCCTTTCCTTTTTTGCTAGAATCACCCTCTAAATTTTTTTAGTCATTTTTTTTTTTATTTATTTTAAATTATCATTTTCAGTAAAAAAAAACGGTACTCAATTAAAATTTTACTCCTCCTCCATATGATGATTGCTTCTCCTCAAATTAATCTAATTTAATCCTCAAATAAGAACGGGAGAAAACTAAGTCAAGTACAATTATTATTTCATCTCTCTCATAAGTGAAAAACTTAAGTTGTAAGGTCACCTTGGTTACTACATCAAAAAATACCATCTGTCCACATACTAACATACTGAATTTCATTTAAATTGAACAATATTGGTAAAAAAACTAAAATTTACACAATATGTACACGAAAAATAGTTAAAAAAATATATCACAACTTTTTCAAACATGATTCTTAAAATCAGAATAATTGCCATTTATAAATCGTCTTTTTTAGAGTTTCTTCGAAAATACTGCCGCCGCTGCCACTGCTTCTGCCAATATGAAATCCCTCATGGCCGAACCGGTAGTTGATACCGGTATTGAGGAAGCTGGTGGATGGGGAGACGATGACGAGATTGATGTTGATCCAGAAGAACGACGTGCAGATGTATCAGGTGAAGGTGAAGTTGGTTGGGATGTAGAGGATGCAGATTTAGAAATACCGGATTTGGGGCCTACTCCAGCTGCTGATGCATCAGATACTTATGTCCATCTTCCTACTCAAGGACCATCACAACCGTTAACCTGGACCAAGAACTCGCAGCTGGCAGCCGATCACATCTCTGCTGGTTCATTTGAATCTGCCAGCAGATTGCTGCATGATCAGCTGGGTGTCGTACAATTTAAACCTTATGAATCCTCGTTCTTGAGTTTGTACAGCGGCTCAAGGACTGTATCGACTTGGCAGCAGAATATACCTCCATCCTTTAGTTATCCATTGAGAAATTGGAAGGAGGCGAATCCAAAATCTGGTTTACCTGCGGCTGGTGTGAAACTTAATGATTTGGTGGCTAGGTTACAAGTAAGTTATATAAATACACTTATAAGTAGTAATGTCACTGCACAATTAACCTGCAAAGGAAAATGAGAACAAGAACTAGAAAACTGTCGAACAATGTGTTTACTAAATATACCTTTGCAATAAAATTTTTAGGAATAAAAACAAAATCGGGAACATTTTTAGTTTAAACGTCACGTTATTTTAATATCATCGGTTAATAACTATCACTGGAAAGGTATGCAAAATGGCATTCACTGATTTGAATTTTTGCATTTAACGTATTTCAAAAAAAAAAAAATTTGGCCCGCTCACCATTTTAATCATAGATCTTCAGCTTGGCAGTAGCGAGTTTATAAACTGAGCTATGGCGACCTATCAGTAGGCAGAGCCTGTAGGGGCTATTTCAATGTTTAGATCGCTGCAGACATAATTCTCGAAATATTTAAATTAACTTTTATTGTAATATCAAATCTGAAAGGTGCGAGCCAATGCCTAATGCCAAAAAAATAATCATGGACTGACGATTTGAAAGGAACACTGAAGGATAAAATTCATTTTAATGTCTTCATCTTTACTGATGCTTGACCGACTTCATTTAACTCTGACTGTTAAGCAACCAGACTTACACTGGAGGTAATGATTAGCGCAAAATTCCTTAAAGTCGGAGGATAGTCCAGTGGAGTGTGTATTAAATTATTTTATAAACATTGAACTTTAATCTGCATTTAATCTGCAAAATGTGTGTTTTTTTTTTCAATACAGAAAATCACTTTTACTTACACAATAATCATAGGATATTATGGATTTTTTTCCATTCTATATTGAACAAGTATTTTTTGATTGAGAATGGTTGTCCTTTTGAACATATAGGCTCTTTTGTAATCCACTTTCAATCAGAGTTAATGAGAATATTGTAAAATACAAAAAGTTTAAATATAAATTGTAGGTTAATTAATTGACCTTACAATGCTCACATAAATAGAAAGTTTTTTAATCAGCTAGTAAAAGCTTATTTTAATCGCATTTATCATAGATGTTCAAAATGACCACTTTCATTTTCCAAATACAAAGATTGACTCCAAAAATTGCCCATTTTGGCAAACTCGTAATTCGTTAAAAATTTTATGCTAAGTTATTGTATATTATTAGAACGTGTTAGTGAAAAAGTTCCAAGATGACTTCAGCTTTGGTTTTGGAGATATAAATGATACATGTCATAATACTCGTGATCTCATGTATCGAGCATATCACTTTAAACCTTTAAGATTCCCTGTTCTTTAGATCATCAAGGTCAAGGTGGTTACTTAGGTTTTTGGGGTCGCTGATTACGAATCTAACAATTTGGCTTTGATTTAATTAAACTGTTTTTTTTTCTATTCAACCTATTTGGTCAATGTTTTTAAATTATTTCCACTCTGCAATTGTTTCAGAAAAATACCTTCTTCTATAACTTGTCTCGGTTGTAAAATTCAAAAAAGATCAAAAAATGAAAATTCTTTTATTGCCAATATTCTGACTATTAAATATTAATAATTTACGAACGAAGTAAGACCCAAAAAGACAAAGACTTGATAGCAATGCATTGATTTTTTAAATTTTGACTGTTAGCTTGGATCCACCATTTTGAATTGTGCAAATCTGATCTCGGATTCGAAAACCCCTGTATACCCAATTTGGTCGAATTTGGTTCAATTTCAAAAACTTTGTCCGCCATATTGGATCCGCCATCTTGAATATTGAAATTCTGACTTCCGATTCATAATCAGCAACCACAAAAACCTAAGTAACCACCTTGACTTTGATGATAGGCCATTTAAAAAACAGTATCATATCTCCAAAACCAAAGCTGAACTAATCTTGGAACTGTCTCAGTAACACATTCTAATGATATACAATAACTTAGCACAAAATTTTTAATGAATTACGAGTTTGCCAAAATAGGCGATTTTCGGGCTGTTTTTGGAGTCACTCTTTACTTTGTGTTTCATGCATTAAAAAACGCATTCAAGTTCATTTTGTGTTATAATATTTATTTTATGTTCATTTGCTGCTTCCAACTCTTCAAGAGGATGTGCAGAGGATTTTTAAATATGTTATTTTTAATATGTCCAAGCAGATAAAAATCTAAATATGGGGCTTCGAGCAGATTACCCCTGGTAAAAATTCCTGAAGATATTTTCTGCTGCAGTATGTAGCTCCATCTTGTTGAAAATACCCATGCTGCAGTTCATTGTTATGTGTTAATTCCAGGGCTTGTAAAATGTTATGGTATCATTCCCCATTTATTACTTCTCAGAAAAAAATTGGGCCTATTATCCGTCTTCTTGAAACTGCTACCCAGATACCTATCTTCTGAGGATGTAACATTGTTTCAATAAAATTATGCAGGTTTTCTGGAGTCCAAGCTCTATAATTCTGATTATTTACATAACCAGATACCCACTCGTCAGAATAAAATAAAAAAAAATCTAATAAATTATCCTCATTTAAATGTAATCAGGAGGATGTAACTCTTGCACAACAGAAACCTTATAGAAGTGCATATGCAGCTGTAAGATTTTATATGTTGGTAAAAGAAAATACATTCTAAAGAAATGGTAATATTAACATTTTTTAAAAATTATTTAATTATGAATTATTTTTTAACTTTAGGTTAAAAAATTAACATAATTCAAACTATATTAAATGTATCGCAATACCTGTTTGAGTAGATAACCGCGAAACAGGTTTCTTAGAACTTCACATCATTCAAAACATTTTCTGTTAAAACAGTAGGTCTGCTTGTCGACTTGCCCTTGCAAATGCAAGTGTGTGTTTTTAAACACACTACGTGATATTAGCATCAGGAAAGGCTTCAATAGATCGTTCCATACAGGATTGCATAGAGTACCAACTTCCATCTGCATTCCATGATCCACTGCGAAAATTTGTCATCAAAATAAATCCACCTTGTTCTGGTGTAAATAAATGGTATTTTTACATAAATCTACAAGTAATAAGAACATAAATGAAACATAACCTTAAAATAATCGTTTAACGTTTAAGAAACGTTGAATTTTTGGAGTTCTGAAGAGATTTTTTTTTCAATTCAACAAAGATTAATTTGTAGAAAAGCACAGAAATACTGGTAAAACTTAAATTGTTCAAACAACAGGCATAAAAACACGAAAAATTACGAACGCCTCTGGACATTTGATCTAGGGTCCTAGTTGGTGATTTTTCCTTGGTAATTTCTGAAACACCAACTTAAGAATGTCAAATTTACTATATGGCACTTAGGTGAGCCACTGTATAAGTCGTGGTATAAATTTTATGACAAATACTATGCATACACTTGATGTTAAAATTGTGTGAGTATTGATTGATTTTACATTGGATTTTCAGATATGTTACCAACTTACCACAGCTGGAAAATTCACAGAAGCCATAGAAAAATTCCAAAACCTGTTGCTATCCGTGACACTGCTCGTAGTGGACACTAAACAAGAAATATCAGAAGCTCAGCAATTGCTCCGTATATGTAGCGAATATGTTTGTGGTTTGCAAATGGAAACATTGAGGAAGACTCTTCCCAAAAGTTCAATAGAAGAACAGAAGCGTCAGTGTGAAATGGCTGCTTATTTCACTCATTGTAAACTTCAGCCTATTCATCAGATACTGACATTACGGACCGCTCTGAATATGTTTTTCAAATTGAAGAACTACAAGACCGCTGCTTCGTTTGCAAAAAGATTATTGGAATTGGGACCTAGACCTGAAGTAGCTCAACAAGCCAGAAAAATTTTGCAGGCTTGCGATTCTAATCTAACCGACGAATTACAATTGCAATACGATGAACACAATCCCTTTTCTCTCTGTGGACACTCGTACTCTCCAATTTATAGAGGAAAACCGGAAGAAAAGTGTCCTCTCTGCAACACTTCTTATCTACCTAAATATAAGGGCTGCGTTTGTAATATATGTGGAGTTGCGGAGATCGGTAAAGATACTATTGGTCTTAGAATTAGTATGCATCAATTTAGATGAATTAACTCTCTCGTTATAAGTATTATTTAGATTTTATGAAAATGTATTTATTAGAATTACATTGGACCTCAGTCAAATTTGTGCTAAATATTTGCTTTTACATATGGGTTAAATAACAGCGTAGTAATTTTAATTACATATAGTACTTTGTTATTTTTTAAACAAAATATAAATTTTATCAGGAATTATTTATTGCTTTTATTAGTTTTGTGATAGGCAGCATTTAAAAAGAACTATTGAAACTAACAAGTCTTTCCAAGAAGCATTAAGAAATTGTGAGGTGTTGAAATAAAAGGGAATGGCATGAACAACAGAACAGTAGAATCTTTCATTTCATACACTTAAAAATAAGAGATAAAATAAATAAAATCAAATAAAATAGATATCTCAAACAGAGAACACTATACCAACGAGAGGCGACAGAATCGGCGGTTCCTTTGATGTTTTGTGGTCACGCTAAAGTCAACCGATTTGAAGGAAACACAATCGTTTACACTGAGAGAAGTTATACTTTTGAATAGACGTACACTGAACGAACTGCATCAGTATTAAACATTGTTCACATAATACATGGATAACTGTGATAAAATGTAGACAAATTATAACATCATCTCGACAGTTTTCATAGCATTGTGTTATATACAGGGTGCATTCACAAAGTTTCAAGACTGATTTTTTCCTGAGTAGAGGAGAGCGCGAAGACTGGTTCCATCAACAGGGTGAAGTAATGGGGTGTGTCAGTTAACCGACGGCACCAATGGCAGTTGCCTCCGAGATGCTGGAGTGAGCAGATCGCTAGTGGTCCACAAAGAGTTTGTTCTTGCCAGACAAACTGTCACAGGTCAGTTTTACGCTAAAGTACTCCACTGTTTGAAGGATTGAGTTCGCCCGGAGATCGAAGACGATTTGGTTCTTCAGTACGACAATGTGCCTTCTCACACCTTGCTTGCCACCGGCGAAGTGTTGGCCAAGTTCAACGTGGCAACACTGCCAGTGCCACCCTACAGCACCGACCTAGCTCCCAGTGACTTCTTTTTGTTCCCCCGAATCAAGAGAGGCCTGACAGGGAAGCGATTCGACACAATTCCAGTGGTCCAGGCAGCTTCGACGAGGTCCCTTGACAGTTTTCGGTGCGGAGAGTTTCAGAGAGCCTATGAACAATGGAAAAAATGCCGACAGCGCTGTGTTGATGCCCATGTGTCTTATTTCGAAGACTTTTAGTTCGCTGTACAAAAATGTTTAATAAATTTTTTGTTCTGAGAGCAGTCTTGAAACTTTGTGAACGCACCCTGTATAATTGTCGTAAGGACTCTTGTGTTATATACATAGTGCAGTGTCCAGAATTGGTGATAAATGTATTGAAATATTAGAGGGGAAGGGAAACAGAAAGTCCATTAAATAGTAGATTGTACATAATTCTTATTTACAGTTTACAGGTAGGTACTAAAATAATAATAATAATTACCATTCGTAATACTTTGGGAATCTAAAAAGAGTTAATCCTTCACCAGTTTTGGATGACCAGCCGCAAAAAGCACAAAAATAACCAGATATAAATGAAAACGAAGTACAATACAAATAAATCCACTATCAATTAACGTTATACAATACAACTGTCCCCCATCAAAAAACTGACAGCAATACAACCCAGTTCGCGCATGCGCATAAGAAAACTGTTAACGCAGAAAGCCTTGCACTCGCACATAATATGATGTCTCTAAAAAGTTGCGGTGATCTGAATTTTAAATACACTACACAATTTTGGTATTTAAAATAGTCCCTATTTAGAGTGGCGATTATTTAATTCATATGGTGTTAATACACAGGAAGTGTCTCCAAAATGCTACTGTAGCATCGCGATTGTATGCTGAGCAGTTTCAACTTCAAATTTAACCACATTGCTTGAAGCAAGTTTAAACCCATTCTACCTGCATTCTTAACTCCGCCCTGGAATTATTCTTCGTCACCCGGCTTGTGGTATCCTTCGAAGTAATCCCCATTCGACTGGATAACATGCTCCTATTGGTGCTTTTATATCCTGAAGCAGATCTGGAAGTCAGTTTTTGGAATGGCCTTCAGTGTACTCGTCGAATTCGTTTCAATCGTCTCTGTGTCATCAAATCGGAATTTTCAATCTTGGGAACAGCCAAAAGTTGCAGGAGGCTACATCGGGACTGTACAGACACTGGCGAAGTTGTGTAATCTAGTGTTTTGCCAAAAACTGTTGCACAAGGTTCGATGAATACGCTGGCGCATTATCGTGGTGAAGAAGCCAGTTGCCGCTCGACCAAAAATACAGTCATTTTCTTCTTACTGTGTCATACAATCTTTTCAGCATATTCATGGTGCAAAACACCTTCATAATCGAAGAAAACAATCAATATGGACTTGACATTGCTCCGACTTTGACATACTTTTTTTTTATCATAGCTTGGATGGAAGTTTCCACTGGCAACCTGTTGTTTTGTTTTGGGATCATAATTTTAAACCCATGATAAGTCACCGGTAATGATCTTTTTAAGCACATTTTCATCATTGGCGACCATTTCCAAATTGTCCTGAGTGACTTTTTCTGCTCCACCAAGAGCAATTTTGGAGTGATTTTCGCACACATGTGAGTCATTTTCAAATTCTGGGTTATAATTGTTGAAACAAGTTTTTGGAATTCCAAGATCACTTTCTAGTTCGCGTACAGTCAAATGACGATATTCAATCACAAGTCGCACACCCTGGTCACTGTCAACAGATGTGCGGCCATGAACGCAGGTTGGATGCTTTTGGGACACACCTCTTATGTATGGGGACTATGAAACTATGAACAAATCTCCTGAGCAAATTTCCAACAGACTTTAAATGTTCGAACTGGTGTTATGTTTATTGCTCCTTTTTAATGAGTTATCCGACAGGTAAATAAGTTGCAATAAACAAATATGATAGTCAATGTGGCCAAATTGGAATCTATGCAATTTTTTTGTGTGGCGTTACAGGAAAAGTGTATAAGCCAAATGTGAAGTGGAAATTTCTTTCCTTAAGATTGTTGTTCGCATATAGTAATTCTTGAGGGTGGTACATAGTTCAAAGTACATGAATTTGGGATTACTAGGTATATAATTTAACTTGAACTATTTATACCCGTTTGCATCGTTTAGAATTTAAGCCAAGTTCAACTGAACTTAGTTTAATTTTAAAACTAAGTTTTAATAATCAGCTATTGCACCACTTACTGCCGATTGTAGATTAAATTAAACTGGGTTTTAGGAATATTGTTTAGGGATTTTATTATGCTGCTAACTTATGTCTAGTTATGTTTGGAAAAAAATATGTCAAAGTCAAATTCTCAAACCAAAATTTTAATATGAGTACCATCAATGTCACCTAACACCCTAGGAAACGATGCAATTTTATAGAACTCATGTTGCATACTAACTATTTCTTCCGGGTTTGGCATTTTTATGTATCTCTGAAATGGCAGACAAATGACCAGCACAAGCATAGAACCAATTGTAGGATAGGAGATACACTATTATTCCCAGAAATATAAAATCATATTAAGAATAAAAGCTTTTTATAACTCCAAAATTCTGTTTGCCAGTTGCATCGTGTTCATGCCGACGTGTTCGTAAAATTTACGTCACTTGGATATTCCAACTCTTCAATTAAAGTGAGCAGATGTAATGTGGTCTCTTTTGTCAACCTAAATTTGCGGAAAAAAGTCATATTGTCTAGATTATGAAATAGATAATTTCTAATAGGTATATATTTGTCTGGAAAATCCAAAGTCTATAATTTTGTGAATATCAAAATCATCCAATACATCAAAGTCACAATCTGAATCCATTTCAAAGTTTTCAATGATGTCTTAACACCACTCACTTATTCACAGTCCATAAGAAAAAGGAAGAAATGCCTATTTAAAAAAATTATAACTAGCAGCAAAGTACTGTCAATAGTGTCAATTTATATTTTCTCATTAATCCAAATTTAAGCGGTCAAATTTGAGGGTTTAAATTAATCCTAGATTAATACATAGATTTGAAACGGTGCAAACAAAATGTTATATTTTAATCCAAGTTCAGACTTAATCCTGGATTAAACACTACGGTGCAAACGGGCATTAGTATTATAAAAATATAGCTCTAAAATGTAGATTAACAAAGAGGGCAATATTCTTTTTGGATATATGCCACATAATAGTTGGAGCACTAAGGCAGTATTTAGACATTCACTTTTTTTATTTAATTAAATAATTTTGGACACTGCCTTTAGTAGATTAATGTGGAGAATTCATCAACCTTTTCAGCTGGTTCAAACAAGTTTGAACGTTTTTAATTAAATTTTAGATTCTTTATTTATTGCTTATTTATGAAAAATCCCATTATAGATTACATTCTATATTAAATACACTAGAAAAATAAATATGTTACTAAATTAAAAAAATGGAAAATATGAAAAAAAAATATACAAAACTTTACAAATTCAATTTTTTTACATGATTTAAAAAAAAAGAAAAGAGAATTGAAAAGGGAAGTGACCATTCAAATCATTTGTCATTTTTAGAGATCTATCTATTGAAGAATGCTATAATTTTAATATGAAACGACACTACAAACAAATAAAAATTATTGTGCCAGTCAATAATGAATTACATCAACTTTGTTCCTATTGCATTAGAAACGGTTTCCAACAATCAGACACAATCACATTTGATTCGAAACGATGAAAGTGGTTTAATATTCCCGATCTTCTAAAAAGTTTGCCAACCGCTAGTTAGATGTAGGACATGAAATAAATTTCAAAGATACTTGTGAGAATGACAGGGTTTTACAACCTGGTGAGACAGTAAACACTGGAAATCGCCAGCATCCAAATAGTGGCAACTGTGCATACCTGAAGGTATGTGCAGTGGTACTGATGGTATGTAAGACCTATTCTGTCAGCATGGAGTTGCATGCAGTAGCACTTGGAATCTATCCGAGGTCTCTCCCTTTACCCCACTCCACATGACTAGAGGTGTACCCTACAGTATCGATATATGTCATGGGTGACGCACATGGGGCTTTCACCACTTTACTGTCCAGGATTGGAGGGGTGTGTAACTGCAATACTATCACTGGAGACGTACATGAGATCATGTTCTCAATTCCACTGTGTAGGCTCATATGCACATGTAGTGACATTGATGCTGTAAAAACCCTGACGAGGATTTACAGAGGTCACTACGGAACGTCTAGCGGACCACCATTGTCTAAGGAGTTGTTCTATTCATAGGGGCCTTAGAACCAACAACACGAACCAAATTCAACATCAAAGCCTAACCCGAGAACAAGAAGAGCAGGTTAAAGATTCCTGGCTAAGACTAAGGAAGTGAAAAGTAAGTCTGTAACTGGTGGTGACCAGGTACATAGAGGCCATGCTACACAATCTGAAAAATTATGGTACTTAAAGGTAAGTTATTCTGACAGTCATATTTCATATTTTTAGATGAAAACTATCGAAATTTGCCTTTAGTAATAAAATGTTATTTTTTCGCCTGCTTTCCTTTGTCTATACTATGAAAGTATAATACAATAATCTATAATAGATCTAGATGCTGTTTGCGAGAAATAAATAATTGGATGTCTAATTCCTGGGTAGGCTGAACTTTTGTGATGTTCCAAATATGAAATTTATGTCAATGTGACAGTTTCAAACAAAATCATGTCTACAGCAGGGAAAAGAAATGCTTTGGTATATTACAGAATTTTTCCAACGACTGATACTCAATGGGATCTAATAAAGATTGAAAATTCAGCACTTTACATTAGAAGTACCCGAGATGTATTGAAGGATAATAAATATTCTTCAAAGTATTGGGAGTATAAATGTGATGGAATCTTCAATAATGATTCCCAAGAATTTGTGTATTCACAGATTGTAGAAGGACTTCTTGAGAAGTAGGTAATATTAGAAACATTTTCTAAATAAAAAAAAAAACAATGTATTTTAAGACATATACTAATTTATGGCCTAAAAACGTATTGTTCCGTAGCTCTGATAGTAATAATAATACAAAAAAAATGTTTCAAATAAAAGTTATTCCAAATAAAGGTTTTCAAATTTAAGTCAAGTTATTTAAAGTTATTTTCAGTTACACAGGCCATCATTTCTGGGCATTATTATTATTATTGCATTTTTTAATGTCTCAATTGATAAACAAATGCTGAGTCTAAGTCAGGTATGTATAAGTATGAGTATAATTCGGCTTTTTTTTTTAAAGGCCGTTGCATCATTGAAAATATATCAAATATTTTAGAAACTAAACATGATAAATTGTGGTTTTCACCATTTGTTCAAATGTGAAGGAACCTATCTTCTACATTACTTAGTACATTTCAAGTAGAAAAATAGTTATATCAGAGTTTTCCATCATGGATATTTTGATTTGTAAATTTTATTTCTTCCCATTTTTAATAACGAATTTTTGCCACATAACGACACTATCTTATTCTACACAAAATAGTAAAGACAAATGGATTAGATGAGCTAACTATATTCCTCGATTTAACAAAATCGGTAATTTTCTTTGTAGCCCACTACATTATATACAGACATACCTGAAATTTTTTATAGTTTCTCTGCAAATTTTAAGAAAATTAAATTACATGCTTAACAAAGTTGTAGACATTTTGGACAATTATAGAACTATTCGTATGCACTTTTTATGTCGTGGCTGCTTTGATAAGAAATTTATTTGGATATTTTTATAAGCATTTTTCTAATATTTAGGTAAATTTTATTTTAAACGATGCTTAAAAGTCATTTTTACAGTTTATTTGGGCTTTGAAAATTCATTCATTTATTTATTTATTTATAAAGGCTGGTGTTACATACACATAAAAGTGTTTAAACATGTCCAAAAAAAAAGTGGTAAATAACAATACACATAATGATAGCAAGTAACTAACTATGTTATACAAATATAGGGTGATTCACAACTTATCCTAAAAAATTTGGGAATAGATGCGGCATGAGAAATGGAGTCAATATTGTAAAAAATTTTTTTGTAAAATCCTTATAGTTTCTGAGAAAAAAATTATTGAAGTTATAGCACGTTAAACCACTACATAGCTGGACAACTGTAGTCTCTAGCATCATTCACCACGTGGCCTCATCGACTCCGAATACTGAATTCGGATTTTGCAATCGTCGTTGTGATATTTACCTGTTATCTGTGGTTTTTATAATACATTTTTAGTAGTTGGTGTCTAAAATAGGTAGTTAGTGTCAAAAATGGTTTGCGTGTACTCGGAGTTGATGGAAATCGTTTTAATTTATGGTGAAGCGTTTGTGTTATGGTGAAACAAGACATCATTTGTGTTAGTTCGTAGAAAGTGAGTAAGATGGACCCAAATGTGTTTACACGTGAGTGGATAAAATTTTGAACAATTGCTGTTGCAGCATCGGGTATGTCAAATGATTTTATTATTTAAAAACGCAAATTAATTTTATTAATAATTAATAAAGGCAAAAGCATTTGAATTTGCCGATATAAAATAGGTGCAATAAAATTCTATTTACATATTTCTTTCCTTGCGAAAGTTTTTGTCCGTTTTTATCACGCCGCCATACCGGTCGCATTGTGCGAGGTCAGGTTTTACAGTGGTCCAGTTTCCAGTGCCGTGCAGAAGTGTATTTTTAAATCAATCAACTGACCTTTTTGATTTTTTCTTTACAAAATTGTATTTGTAAGAGTCCCCTGTACATCCAGATTTTTTTTTTTTTGGATAAGTTCTGAATCACCCTGTATACATAAACAACATATAATTAAAATAAATAGGATAAACGACACACTAAGATTAATAATAACATTCATATTCGAGTTACATTACTGTCAATAAAATCATCAAAACTGTAAAAGGCATTTTTTATTAAGTATTTTTTTATCCTTGATTTAAAATTATTGACGTTAAGAATTTGAATATGGTGATGTATTGTGTTAAAAAATTTGATGGCCCAATAATTAGTACCGACCCGCGTTTTACTAATTGTAAGTCTTAGAAATTTATTACATAAATATGTGCTCTTTCGGGTTTTATAAGAGAGAGTCTCACTTCTGATTTCAAAGTTATGTATATGTTTTTTGACATAAGTAAGACACTGAAGTATATGCACAGGGTACAGTTAGTATGTTCAACTTGGAAAACTCTACAATCATCTCTAAAACCAAGGCCAGATATGGTTCTAATAATTTTTCTTTGAAGAGTAAAAACTTTTTTCATAGAGGGGGCATGACCCCATACTAAAATAGCATATAGTAAATAAGTATGTTTTGATATTTTGGAGCAAACATAATTAACATGTTGATTCCATGTCGGTTTAGGGTCAAGATGAACTCCCAAGAATTTTACATGTGCTGGATTATTCCAGTTTTCCATATTCCAGAGACTAAAAATCATAGTTTCGGTCTATGAAGTATTCAAACTGAATTGATTACTAGTAAACCAGTTTTCAACCGATTGCATGTTGGTCATAAGTTCTAGTTATATTTGTATCATCAGCAAAGAGTATACTTACTTTATTATGTGGTATCCAATTTTATCAAATAAACAACTACAAAGATTTTGGAAAATATAACAAATAGCCCCTAACATACTAAATTTCTACTTTTCTATTTGAAATGAATAAGTAATTCATACAAGAGATACATTTTTTCAGATTTGAATGAATGGTGAAAATCACCTTTTGTTGTGACGTTTACCTTTGAAAATATTGTCAAGGACGCGGCAAATGCCATTAAAAAAAAAACAATTGACAGAATCGATATAATTTAGATCTAACATTTGTTTATCTAAATAGGCATTAAATTCAATAAGGTATTCAAAAATACAATAACCTACTTACGATTTGTTCCTGTTGAAAAATAAAAAGATAAGTAATGTTCAGAAGAAGTGGGACATTCTGTGTACTTAATCGAAAATAATTTGAAATTGCTAAGAAATGGATTTGGTGCAACCATTATTTGAATGCCGTAAAATTTTTTAAATTTTATCTTCTGTTATACAGAATGACGTTTTAAATATTTCGGAGATTGTAGAGTATGAAATTCGGAACATTTTGCAATAAGCAACTTATAGCCGGAAATGTGAAATAAAGTTTTTACAGCAGTAGGAGGTGTTTGACCTCCTATCACTTAGGCAGCTACTCTTCCACCCATTGATGTAATGTTATTGCTGCGGATGAAAGACTGTAAATATGCAACTACAGAAGTCTACCCGAGCCAGTGTACAGGAAGTTGTTTACTAAGTGCTTGTCGTTCTTCATTTCACACCTTCCATCCACTGGCATTCGATGTAAACACACGGCTAGTCAACTTGAGTCACTGTACACAGTTGTCTGCTTATCATTATTCTTTATGTACTGTAGTTACATTCTGACTTCATAGAGGGTAATTACACAGTTGGAGAACTTGCTGATGATATGCATTTGGGTTATGGTGAAGCTCGTTGTGGGAATGCCAGTGCAGTTCGTCGGTTGCCCGCAGGAATGTACCCAAATAGATGACATTCGAGCAATTGGTTATTCACCAACATCGACAGGGTGAGAGAAACCGTGTCAGTTAATACAGATTAGATGGATGCAAGGAGAAGGATACGAACCCCTAAATTTATTATATGGAACATGCAGCCAATCCAAGATCAAGCACACATGCAATTGCCCACACAATGTACGTAGATCACGTGAGTGTATGGCGGGTTTTGCCTGGTAAGCACCTACATCTATTCCATGATCAACCAGTCCAAACAATGGGACAACCTGATTTTGAAACAAACTACAGTATTCTGGTGTTTCATTTAGCCTACCGAGACGTAGCAAGTGCATTGTGCTATAGAAACTTTATTTCACATTTCTGGCTATAAGTTCCTTATTGTAAAATGTTGCGATTTCGTCCTCTATAATCTACCAAATTTTTAAAACGTCACTCTGAAACACCCTTTAATCATTTTATGTCAGAAAACATGAACTGTATATACTAGCATTAAAAATTTAAATTAATTGTCTTAATTTTCTTTGGGTGAAACATGAAAATGCTATATTATATTTTTCTTAGAATCATTGAAGGATTTAATGGAATTATTCTTGGATTTGGACAAACGGGTACAGGGAAATCCTTTACTCTTGGTGGATTACAGTTTTCAGAGGACGTAAGTTTAATTTGATTCCAACTTCATGTACAGTCATATGTTCAATGTGGTACATTTACAACCAGAACTCCCCCTAAATTTTACTTATAGGACACAAATGAGTTTTTTACATATGCATCGTACAGGGTGTCCCTGAAATGGCTGGAAAAAATGATATGGTTGAATCCTTAATCAGTTTTACTTTAAAATAACTGTGAATCAAATGAATTTATTAAATTTTCAAATACTTGGTGGCATCGAAATTCTGAGGTTCTTATAGTTACGGTGTTGACACCTTTACCACTGGTTGCATAATTGCAATTGAGTGAATTTCTAAATTTATTAAGTTAAATCGCTAGTCCAAGTTTCTTTAATCTATGTCAATTTGGAGATATTTACGTTTTTCTGATATTTTTTAAAAACTGAAACACCCTGTATATTGAAAATTAAGCCATTTAGAACATAAACTCATGGGTACTGTTTTCCTCAAAATTGAACAAGGATTCCACCTTTCATTTTTTCCAATCATTACTGAGACTTCGCCTCTCTAGTAGCCTTCTAGATGTAGATGCCGAATCATCTATGTACTTTGATCTACAGTGGCTCTATACAAGACAGTGGCGACAATAGCCACTAAACCCCGCTCATCCGCCATGTTGCATCCAATGTCAAATTAAAAGTAACTTTTATAAAAAATAAATTAAGGACAAGAATATTTTTCTTATAAATTTTACGCACAAATTTTAAGCAAATAACTCCCTTGGAAAGTGATTTTAAATAATGAATGAATGTAGAATCTACTTGTGCAATAGGGGAGGATAAATATATAATAATAGCAACTATTGGTTTTTATTTTCTAGGCAAGTAAAATTAAGCTTACCTACATTACACAATGAAATTTATTGGGTTTACATTACAAAATAAATACTTAATACTAGTGATAGTATTTGTTACAATAAATGTCTAGCAACACTTACTTGCAAGCTTTTTTTATGCTTTTTGGCATATTTTGGAAGCTATAGGTATATAATCGCAACATAATAAATATTATAACAATATTATTTTTGATCTGATGACAATTTGGTAGATCTAAATTTAAACCAGACATTTCTTTTAAGAAAAATCTTTTAAATTTATGTTTTGTCAAGATACAATCGCAAAAAATGTTGTAAAACACTTTCCATCTGCAAGAAGAAACAAAATACCACTTCATTGCAAAAAAGAGTGAATGTTCTCTAAATCTCTTAAGTACGCTAAATTTTGAAAATGTTTTATAAATTGCCATTTTAGAACTAACAGAGTGTATTGTCTATGGAGTGTACACATCAGTTTGTACAAGTTTTTGTTGTTTTAACGATACTTTGAGTAATATATCCGCACACATTATAAAGAGAATTTAATTCACTAAAACTAAGATTAAATTTTGGTTCTTCTATGTTAGCAGGAACTTTAACTTCCTCATAAGTAGGTGTTATATATTTTGTTAATGGTGTCCAAAAAACCTGAAAAAAATTCACGGTTGTCGTCCTTATAGGAGCTTCTGCAAACATAACTATCCCTTAGTACAGAATACCCAATATAGTATCACTAATAATCACCAAAATTAAAATAAAACAATACAAATATTGAATAACACCATAAGAACGCTCCTGACACATGACACATCACAGATGAATTCATGATGAATTTGACACTGGTGACTGGAAGCAACATGGCAGCTAAAATCACGTGGACCAATTAAAAATGATACACTCTATTGTCACCACTGTCTTGTATAGAGTCACTGTACTTTGATCCAGTTCAGAAACCATGGCCTGCTGCAATTTTTTTTAGAAGCGATTTTGTGGAACATTATTTTGGGGATACTTCATATCAAACATCTGACTACCTAGCCTTATTCAGCTTCACATAATACTCTAATATGTAAAATTTCATAAGTTTATAATGGAGAATATTTTTTTACGCAGACTTAAAATTTTAGTAAAGAGTTCTGTTATAGTTTAATAATAGTATGATGATAATGATGATATGAATAATTAATAATAGTATGATAATGATAATGATTATCATAGATAATCATAATCATCATGATAATGATGATCATAGAAACACGTAACAGAAGAATAATAATTTATTCATTAATTAATGACACTAACGGAGTCTGTTTATTTTAGGATGCGTTTAAAACTTACCACTATTTTAGACCTATAAACATACTAGTATTTTCTTTTATAATTAACAGTGGCAGTACATAATTGGTTCATTTTTAATATTCAGAAATTTTCAATAACTCCTAGATTTTTAAACTGAAACAAGATTTATAAACTTAAAAGTTTAATCAATCACCAAAAATTATTTTGCAATATGAACTGATAAAATTTGAGATATTGATTAAGAATATGTAGCCAGATTTCTAATAAAAAAAACCTGCTCAGTTTCCAAAAATATGCTTCCAAAAAAATAGCAGAATATGGTTTACTAATCCAGATAATTGTAGTCGGTTCAGCAAGTAAAACTATTGGAATACTGCCAAACTATATAAAAAATATTTAGCCTTATTAATAAAATTATGAATGGGCAAATCTTTTGTCATATTTCAACTTATAAATGTCTCATGAAAAGCGTTTTGTGGATAAATCAGAATTTCATTGGTTCAGATAGCTATTCAATATTTTAGGTTACTTTGGAAACATCCCGAATAATAATTTGCTTAAAATAGTTGTAGGTACCTCATTTGAACCTAATGATAATGCATTTCTAGAAAAAGAAAAATGTAACAGTATCTTTTATTGGTAAAAATATATTTTGGTCTTCTTACAGGAATTTGGAGTTGCTCCCAGAGTAATACTTGACTTATTTAAGTTCAAAAATGAACTTCCAAGAAATATAAAAATGAGAATCCACATGTCATATACTGAGTTTTCAAAATCAAACGTTATCGACCTCCTCAAGGATTTTCCTAATTTCATCGATCCATGGCATGTTAAGGATGCTTCAAAAATAAAAATTAAAAATGAATATGAAGCCATGAAACTTTTATATAAAGGTAGGTAGAACAGTTATGGTGGTATCTTGTATTATTATTTCATTGTAGGAGAAGGACGAAAAACATTTGTCAGTAACAATGAATATAGGTCACATGTTGGTAGTAGTGTACTTACATTTCATATCGCAACAGCAAATCAGGATTTCACCTGTCCAGAAAAGATTTCATCGAGGGTAATAAATATTATTTAATAATGAATTATCTGAGTAATATCACTATTCCTATATGTTTAGTTGCATATTATTGACATGGCCGGTGTAGATTCAGTGGGTAATAGTTCAAGTCAGTTTAAAAACCGTTTAGATGTAGGAAATGCAAATATAATAAAATCTTACATGGAACAGTTTATTTTATATCTGATGCAAAATATTCCAAAGCATATTCAAGTTAAAGAGAGAACAAATCCCTTAATTTATTTCCTTGGGAGTGATTTAAATAATGAGTGTATTTTACGGTAATCTATGATAATGTTTTCTTTAAACAATTAAATAAATTGCTTATATTAATAGGTTTATCGGACATATCAAAATTCAAAAAGATCTTCAAATCACATCATCAACATTAAGATTTGGACAATTGGTTAGAGGTTTGAAGCCGAAAGTAAAAGAAATAGAGTCAGAAATAAATGAGGATGTTAAATTTCAGTATTTGCAAGTACTTTTTCTGTAAGCTGCTTAAATTGGAAAATTTAAATTTACCATTTCAGAACAAAATAGAAAATTTGCAGAATGAAAAGATTTACAATTCAGTTTTAATGAATCAAGATTTAACATTAGATTTAAATCAAGATAGAATTGAACATATCCAGGCAACAGTTGATGCATACCTTCGTAATCGTATTACCGAATTGAGTATTTTAAATATTGCTGAGGCATCAGAAGTTTTTAAAATATTTAAAGCCATTTGCAATGTACCTGAGGAAGATAAAAGTAAAAATCAACAAGAGTCTGATCTTAAATCTAAACGTGGTTCGAAAACTAGTTCAAAAACTTCACTAAAGGTAATTATAAAGTAATATACAGTAACAAAGGGCAAAAAATTAAAGAAATTTTTTATTTGTCTTATGAATTGCTATAGGTACCTATATTTTTTATAAAAAACAAACAATAAAAAAAATTACTTTATTGTTCTTTATCCTATCTACCACAAAGTAGGTAATAAACTTTTAACAATACAAATAAAACAATAAAAATGTTTTTTTTTGGGGTAAGTTGAAATCAACTATAACTGTAAATATAACAGGGTGATTCCACTTTAAATACAGAAATTGCAGGATTAGATTCATTACCAAAAAATATAGAGTTTGCACTATAAACTTTTTTCCTGTAGCACTCGGTATTAGAGATACAGGGTGTTTAGTTTACGAAATAATATATATTTTCTGTCATATCTTCATAGCGTTATAAATTTATTAGAAAAATTCAATAAAGCCCAAATATCCCCTAAACGGCTTCTATTATTAAAAAACAAGAAAAAATTCATTCAATTAACATAGGGGTACCTGAATATAACATTATTTCTGTCAAAAACCACCAGTGGCATATACTTTTCTTTAGAAAATTGGGCAGCACCTTCATTAGTATGCCACTGGTTAAAACCAGGGAGTTAATATTGCATTCAATAAAAGTGAATACGCTGTAGTAAATTTCATTCAATTCCGTAAGCGCATTATAAAGAAATGACACAAGATATAATTTTTTTTACAAACACCCTGTATCTTGAATATCCCCTAGGAAAAAAGTTCATAGAGCAAACTCTACTTATTTTTTGGTAATGAATCTATTCAGTTTCTGTATTTAAAGCTAAATCATCCTGTATAATATAATAAACTAAATGAAAAGCTAAAAAGTTTATTGTTGTATATTATGATATTCTTTATTATGCATTTTTGGTTTACTTTTTTAAGTTGAATGCAAACACTATTTATGTAAGGTCGAAAATTTGGCAGTATTAGTCAGGACGCGATTGCCAGATTGTGCAAAAGTCTTTTTTATTTTGGAAAAATAGACAGATGTAAAATTAAGAGCACTTTCACATGGGGAGACTGTCTTCGTAAGGCTATCTGCGAGAAGACTAGTTGTACTACTTCTTATGCAGTAATTCAGAGGAAAGTAAGCGTCATAAACAGTTGCCAGACACTACATTTCAGTTTCAGTCACCTATCCTGTCTAGTTGCCGTCGATTGATTCTGCATCACAGCGACTGGTAAGGCACTGAGTCATATGGACATATTCATACTTGGCAACAGTTTTCTTCACTTTAATAGACAAACAGATACATTATGAAAATGGAACATTCTACTTTTGACAACAAAAATTAATAAGTTTGGTTTAAGAAAATTCATGCCTGTGAAATTTAGCAAATGAGGATTATTCATATCAACAGAAGAAACAACAATGTTGGGTGATTCAAATGTTGTAATAGATGAAAATAATTGAAAAACTTTTCCGAATCCATAATCTGTTTTGCAGTTTTTTTCTTTTTTTTCTCAGTCGAAATCATACCACCAGAATTTCCTTAACATCCATATTTAAAAGTCACTTCAAAAGGTGAATCTGTATCGCTTTTCTTGCATGGAAAATTGTCTGTGTGACTGTCAGTTGCAGACAATTTTCCTGTCTGAGGGCACTTTAAAGATATTTAGTAGGACAATTGATGAAACCTTTGCTCAAATGTTGGACGTTCACCAAAATCTAGGACGATTGGCAAGTCTATTTCCTTGTATGCTGAAGAATTAAACTTGGTTCTTGCTATTTTTTCTTTTTAGTTTAATTTAAGAGAAAAAATCATTTTTTAAATACTCTCACCTGTAAAAAATCAGCCACATAAAAAATATAAGAAATTGTGCCAAATTTATGTTGCAAAATTAAGTATACAGATGTGTACTTAGCGATATTCTGTGGATGAACCCATTCTTTTTTTAGAATTTGCTCTTTCATTGTAAAGAGTAAACTGTAAATTCTCCCAAGGTGTGTTGTAGAAGAAAATTAAACAATAATTGTGTTTTTTCATAAAATTGCACTACAAAAAATGATTCAACATTGAAAAGCCACTGGTGTGTACATATATTTTTTAAAGGTATGGAAAGCGTTGCTTAGGGATGACCAATCAAATTTTAATTTTAGAGAAGGGATATGGGGTATATGAAGTTTATATAAAATTTTCTTCTTAAATTACTATGGAAACCTCTCACAATTTTAGACCACTAAGAAAAGACCTTTATGTCATAAATAGGCACTGACAACAATTTTATGACACAGTATGTAGATTAATAAAATGTCTCCTTATTTTTAATAATTTTTTAGAATATCAAGTCACTTAGTAAGCGAATTAAAAGATCGAAAGATAGTATGATTACTTTGGAAAAGACAAAGCCAGTAGAATCTAGAGGATCTATTCGAACAAAAAGATCTGTACTTATAAATCGATCACCTTCTGGTTTAGGTAAGTAGCATTTAATAAATTTTGTCAAAGTTCATTTCATTCCTTAAGGAGGTTTATCTGATATGGAATTGACAAACAAATATTCATAAAAAAATTAATATAAGCTTATTAATATGAAGAAAATCCTCAAAAAAGATAATGACTAGTTTGGATACCTAAAAGACCAGATATTAATAATAGTACATTGTGTAACGAGTGGGGAAAAGTTGCCAATAGCGCCACGAGGACGCAGTTGACGCACGAGCAAAGCGAGTGCGGAAAGCGACCAAGTGGCACTAAGGCAACATTTCCGAACGAGTTGCACATACTATTTTCTATCACAAGTGCGAGTCGTTATGGGACCTATAGTGTAGGGGGTTAGGTGCACTGGAAAGTGCTAGATAGTACAACAGCGTGATGTTATTTTCATAGCGCAACGCTGGAGCGTTGCGCTATGAAAATAACATCACGCTGTTGTACTATCTAGCACTTTCCAGTGCACCTAACCCCTTACACTATAGGTCCCATAGCGAGCTCGCGTGATAGAAAATAATTTTTCACGATTTAGTACGAAGTCTTATGAGAATAAAGATTTTTTTGTTCTTTCCACTTAGAATGGGCGACAATTGACCAACAGTTTTCACAGCAACTTGTATAAATAGGAAACCGATATCTAAGGAACAGTATGACAGCTCGTAGAAATTGATTAGGTACTTGTAACATACATAATTTATAATAATTCTCCGTCAAACTGCTTTTGTTGACTAACATAACCTTCATAAGCGTGATAGCGGTTCTCGACCTAGCGCATTATTTGAAATTTGCAGGTGTGACATAAGATGTATATTTCAAGCTTAGGCATCCAAACAAACAGAATGATTGGACCCGAGCGATCGAACGCCGAGCCGAATGCGCCAGCCAAGTGCAACATTGCCACTAGCGAATCTACAGAAAGTCTCATTTGACCTTAAACGTACCCGATAAACCTCCTTAATCAGAAATTTTTTACTAAATTAGGAAGATGTAATTCATAAAATAGGGGGTGTCCCAGATTGCCTAAGATGATTATGCCTAACCTGTTGATAGAACTTTCAAAAATATGAATGGACAAATGTTTCATGAGTTTTCAAGGTACAAGAGGTTGAATTTTTTTTAATATTTCCAAAACACATTAAGATAAATTAAAATTTACACAGGTATTTCACTTATTTCTTATACTTCAAAATTTAAGATCAAAATCATCATTTATCTGTTATCTAATAAAATAATAAAGTATTGTGCTAATGAACTAAATTAAAAATTTTTTCGAAAAATCCTGTCATACCAAGTTGGTGGCTATATTCAGCGACAAATTCGATGAGTTAGGCCATTTACTTTTATTCATCATTTGGAGTCAATCGAAATTATGATTGTTTATACAGACCAATAATATTACATGGATTGAATCTGTCGCATCAAAACAGTGAATAAAAGAACATGGCTTAACTCATCAATTCTGCTGGCTGAATGTAGCCAGTATTCTTCATTACCAAAAATCTAGGTTTGCAAAAGATCTAACCTCATAGACAAGTTTCTTAATTGATGATATTGTGGGGAACAACTACTTACATTCTACATTACTCAAGTAGCATTGATATATACCAGCATAGTATCTATCAAATAGTTTGTACCTAATTAATAAATTACCTAAAAAAAATAATAAGAACTGAGTTCTCAAAATATTATTATTAATAACATTCTGCATTCTTGTCGCATAACATCACCTTTGATACAGGCCAACCCAAAAAAAATAGTTATGAAAAAAAGTGCCCCCGACATGAATCATTCTATGGCTAATGGTCATGTGAAACCAAATCAATTTTTTTTTATGTATCACAATTGAGGCACACTTTTATATTGTATTTTTTATAAACAAATTTTTGTTCATACATGCATTTCATCTTTGATAACTTCTCTCCTTCTATCTACTTAACAGAACATAAAAAAAAACGATGAGACTGTTCCAAATTCGCTTCTCACTACAGGGATCTTGAAAAGGGTGAGGGATACAAACTAACTTAAATGGGGGCAAAGTTGCATAATCAGGGGCCCAACATAATGCCTCTAAAAAATCAAGGCTCACGATTAGTTTTTGAAATATTTGAAAAAAAAACGAAATTTTGGAAATTCGTTTTTGTTTCATTTCAGCCTTGTTTGAGATGATATTGAAAAAAGAAGCACTTTCTCATGTCCACTTTTTGCCCTCTATCGAATGGCATAATCAATTTTTATTATATTTTTTGCAAGCCTTTATGAACCCCAATACTGTACTGCCTCAGCCCGAACCAGATTTAGGCGTTTTGTCTCGAAAAATCCATCTTCAGTGTATTCGTTCCAAATTTATCTAAATTTTGTATTTAGATTACTTTGTTTCTTTGAATTATCATTCAATAAACACTGTAAGTGTCGTTAGACAGACAGACAGAAATTTTTGTAGTTCTAATTTGTCTCCAATATTTATTTCAGGACTACAGGTACAATAAAAATATAAAATTACGTTTTTTGCAACTTTCAACGATGATGGATATCGTATGTTGTGCGATATCTTGAAAGTCCTATATTCATATTTCAAAATTAGACATAGAACATCCAGATACTAATTTATTAGTACCTACTATTTAAAAGATCGTACAGTTTATATTATAAAATGGTTCAAATTTACTTATTTTGCAAAATAAATGTAGAATGATTTTAAAATGATATAAAATTATATTTTACACAACTGTTGACATTCAAGTCTGCTAAATGATGATTAATTACATTATAAAAATTGTGAAACATAAAAATGTTAAATTTTAACAGGAAACGTGATCGATAAATATTAGTTACATTAAATCATTAAACGTGTTTTTTCTCAAAAACAAATAAAAAGGCTGTAATCAATTTTGTAGTCAATAAAGGGTGTTTCGAATTGATGAATAGATGTTTTTTCACATTGCTGCAGTTTGTTACCAATAATGAATGTAGGTATCAATTTATTATATTGACAAAAACTTTGTAACAAAACATTAATTTAGAAAAATTGACCTGAAATTATATTATATAAACATTGAATTTTTTAAAAAAGGAACTATATTGTACCATTATTTTTAAGAGCAAATAACTTTCCAAAATGTTTTGTGTATAGTTTCAATACAGACTATGTAAAAAGTAATATCAGTAGATAATTTCTAGGTCGCCTTTTATTAGTATTACAGTATTATTTTATTTATCGAGTTCATAATAAATAACTTATACAGGGTCTAACAAAAATAAGGTTACAGACTTCACCAGCAAATAGAATACTTAAAATTAGTAGGGGTACTTCATATAAAATTTTTTACTAAAGTGCTTCCTTGGTGAGATACAGGGTGTTGAGGTTGAAAAAATAAATAACATTTTTTTTAATATCTTTTGACTACTTCGAATTAATTTCATGAAATTTCGTATCCGTGGGTTTTTTGGGATGAGAAATTCGAATTTATAGACAATTTCGTTGTATCTTTTAGAGGGCGCCATAAGCGACCATTAGGACACATTTAAACTGCCAAAACTTTTTGTATTTCACTTTGGGCTGGAAAAATCTTTTCCCCCGACTTGTCTGCTTAAAAAGGTAAACCTTGCTAATATCTCTATAGCAAACCGTTTTCAACAAAAAGGCATTTAAATTCGTAAATGCATAAAAAAATAGTTTAAAAGTTATTTTTTTACCCCTACCAATTTTAAGTGTTCTATCTGCTGGCAAAGTTTGTAACCTTATTTTTGTTACACCCTGTATTTACAGTTGCATCAGGGATCTCTGTTTCTCAATATGTGAAACGAGTAAGGTCAAATTCTACTTCTTTGGGAAAACAGTCCTCAGTTATGAATAGAAAGTCCACTGCTAATATGTCGGTTAAAGACAGGAGGGAATCTAAGAGAGATTTAGCTGAGGCTTCGTTGGTACCAGACAATATTCCCAGATTTGAGACGGCCTGGAATGCATTCATTAACGATGGTAAATCTACATACAAAGCTCTTTTTGCCCCATATAAAGTTAATGAAAACGATATAAGGAAGGTATATATGAATTATCAAAAAGAGATGAACGGATTACAAATTTGTAAAGAAGTTGTGGGCAGGAGAGAAAATGAATTGTTAGAAGTAAGTAAAAAAAAATTGTAAATTCACTCGAAATTAAATATTTTCTCTCAGATTTTTGATGAATTTTAATAGAAATAAGTAGCAAAAAAATTCCTAGAAGAATTAGTGAGTGCAAAAGATATTTTTTGCATTAAGTTGAAATAATATGATTAAAGTTAAGATATTGTCTGAAATTATTTATTTGAAGTATTATTTAACCTCATTTTAACACAACCCTCAATTTTGAGAATAAAGTATAATCATTTTCGTCACATAAATATTTTTAAAGTGAAACCGTCTGAAAATCTTAGTGCAATCTGTTTATGTACAATTAACATATCTGAAAGTCGCTCTACTTCTGTAATTTCAGATACGCAAAAAAACATATTTGATGTGTATATAATTTTTATTTAATTATATAATTTATATGTATAAATTTTTGCTTTAGAAATACTAAAGAAAAAAATAAAAACACCTAATTTTACTGATTTGTTAATATTTCGTGATAATCACAGATTAGTAAGTGGTTTTAATAGTAATACAGTATAAAATTTTCATAAATATTAATTTATTAATTTTTATAGGCTAAAATGTTTAAAAAATTCAATGCTTCAAACGAATCTGATCCTGTTATAACAGACATTGACAAAATATGTCAGGAAAATCTGAATCATGCACGAATTGATTTACTGGAACAACAGGAGGTAGTTTTGAAATCACAGAGCGAACTGAAAATACTTTTGAATAATAGACGACATTTAAAGCAACTTTTACAAGACGATTTTGATCAGTATTGCAGGGAGAATTACAACGTTACTATTCCCATTTTAGTTGCTGAAGGAGAAGAGGAAGAAGTTATTTTGGTGAGATAAAAATGACATGTTTAATGTCTTGTGATTTTTGATTGTGATTTTTATTTTATCCACTCAATTTCATTATTATTATAATATATTTCTACATTTTTTCCAATTTCAATTAAATTTTACTCTGTATTATTAAATATTATGAATTTTGGAAGAAAATAGTAAAATTTTTCATTTAGACATTCATTTTTTAAGAAATGGAATGTGGAAGTTTAAATTAAAAGAAAATATATTAATAACTTTATCATTGAATCAATTATTCAGTTGAAATTTTGTGCACACTTTTATCTAATATTAATTATACAAATTAAAACCCAAATGTAACAAATGAAATAAACATTTAACTTTTATAAAATATGCAGGTACACTTATGGTGGAAAATATATTTTAGATTAAAATTTTATACTTTTAATTTTTATCATTTTTGTAAAAGTTTTATGTAGAACTTTGTAAGATATTGCAACTTCTTTGAATATACCGGGTGATATTTTTAACTTGAAACTTTTAAACATCCTAAGAAATAAGCTCTATGAAAGAAGTGACCTGTGGGGGGGGGGGAGGCGTTTGTGAATCAGTTGATGTATTAAAAGAAAGGGTCATCAATAAAACTGAGACATTTTAAGTAGTCAGAAATTTTCCAATTATTTTATTTTACTAAAAAAAAAATGTTATGCAGGCAAAAATCTAGGACATTTTTAAACAGAAAAATTTTAATCTTTTTATCTTCATTAATTTATTCTGTTTTGATTTTTTTTTTCGGATAATTTTGGGGGGGGGGTGCGCTCGCCCCCATCGCCCCCTGCTTACCTTTCACCTATCAGGGTACTTGATTTATGTGAGTTCCTTCGCCTCTCACTGATCAGAGTGCTTGATTTACATCAGTAATCCCCTTGTCTCATCATCTTTCAATTAAAGTAAATGCTCAAAATGATGGCCTTTGACTTCAATCCACTTATTAATCTGTATTTCAAATGTCTACACAAGTGAGAAGTGTGTCTGCTTGAACTTCAGCACTAGCATTTCAGATTTATTTTGGTGGTACTTGTTTGTAAACATTGTCTTTGAGGTAGCCCCACAAAAAGAAATCTGGCGAATTAAGATCTGGTGACCAAGCAGGCCAATTTTCCAAATCAGCTGTACCAATCCAGTAACCATTGAAATCACGAACAAGTATGTGCTTCATGTTCTACCACCAAATAGTGTGCTGGACAACCATCATGTGGAAACCACATTCATTTTCCAAAACGTCTCTTTACATTTAACATTTATTCATATTCATTTGACATAAATATCCATTTGACATTCATTCATGTTCAAGACATTGACATTCATTCATATTCAAGTTGCCTTCAATATTGTGGGGGAAAGGGAAGGATGTGTTATGATAATAGTAGTTTCTTGACAAGTTATTTTTCAGTACTTAATAGAAAATTTGCGAAATAAAATTTGTTTTCAGTTCGTGTTTTTGTTGAAAACGACAAATCTTTTTGAAAACTAACAAGAGTTAGAAAAGTTTTAGAATTAAATTCCCCATAAAATAGAGCAAGAATTTTTTAAATCCGCCAATGGCTTAAAAAATTCTGTCACACTTTAATGGTGCATTATCTCTTATCAACTCTTTCAAATGCTTCAATTGAACTCTACTTACTGTTGATAAATATACTCTTGGTACACTCACTTCGTGTACCAAATTTGTTTTTTTTAAGTTCAAGTATAACTAAGATATTGATTTTTTTCAAAATTTGAAACTCCATTTTCAAGGCCTTATGAAAATAATAATATGTTAAATGGTACCATCCACAGGGATGTATTTTCCTAAGGGCATAGGGGGCGATTGCCCAGGGCGGTTTGTTCCAGAGGGGTGGCCGAAGGGTGGTCCCTCTGGTTTATTTGCTGACATTTTACATTTACTAACAGGTACTACTTACTTACTGGGTCGGCCAATCATATTCGCCCAGGGCTCATAATTTAGAAATATATTAAGCTTAAGCAAAATTGAGAAATTAAACAGCAGCTAGCTCAATATCACATCCAAAGAACTTGCAATATCTAATAAACCAAACAATAAACCAACATTTTGATTGATAGAAAATAAAAGATAAATAGATGATCTAAAGAACAAGGAAAATCTTATTACCTTTATTTGAAGTATGTGGTTAATGGTTCAACCTACTTTTTTGTAACATCCTGTGCATCTAAACAGTATAACAGAGCATAAAAAATTTAAAGCATGTTTTCTTCATTATTCTTACGTTGTATTAGAATTATAAAAATATGACAGCTCTTTACTAATCCAAATACATAGAATATAATTCATTCATGACCTAGAAATTTTTGGTCTAAATGGTCAGTGGCAGCTGATGAAAGTTAATGTATTAATAATTTGATAATGAAGTATGTGGCCCGTATTGTTATTTAAGAGGTTTGGTCTACAGAAAAATTTTATAATGAAAAAACATTAAATTAGTGATTGCCAACTTTGAGATCCCAAAAGAGAAAAAATATTTTTTTCATAATTAACTATAGATCTAATTAGGTGTTTTTTTAAATTTTTTACAAAATAAAATGTTTGAATTTATATATACTTAAATTATAACTGGACATTAACATTCCATTCTTCAAATCTCGTAGTGCTGTAAAATTTAAAAAATTCTGAAAATAAGAAATTGTTTCTATCAATTAGTTGATTATGAAAAAATATGTCTTTCGAGATCTTAAGGTTGTCAACCTTTATTTCAAATTTTTCAACCTTTTTTGTTCTATGCTTCATTATCAAAATTATGAACACTAAATTTAATTACCTACCACTATATTATACAGGGTGTTCCTAAATAAGTGTCGCAACGGAAAACTGTAAATTCCTCTTGAAAAAAGAAACATTATTTTCCTCTTCCATTTTTCTCTCCGGGCTTTCGTTTTCGAGATACACGGTGTCAAAACTTTAATTTTTTTTTAGTTTTTCTTAGGAATCGTTTGAACTACAGGACTGAGCTTTTGTACACACATTACCACTATTAATAGCTACTTTTTCGCACCCTTCTCAAATTCATTGGACATGCCAGTGGTAGAGATTTTAAGGTATCGTAAGGGTTTTCCCCCCTAAATTTTACGCCACTGGAATTTTCCACAATAAGAGTTCTCTTGGTTCATTGCTCTAAAGTCAACCATTTTCAAGAAAAATGACTTTATGAACAAAAACAAACATTTTGCTAACGTTTCGAAAATCTTTTGTAATTCAAAAAATAGGTAGTAATTATTAACAATTTTAACGAAATTTAACAACAGATAAGATTTTAACTTTTTTTTATCAATTTGGCAAGTAAAATTACAAAAACTGTTCAAAATTACGTCTGTTGGCTTGAATGCACGCATTACATCTTCTAATCATGTTTGTATGAACGTCGTTCACAATTTGATGGGTATTTCTAATTTGTTCCGCTGTGGCTTCAACCCTAGCAGTCAATTCTTTGACCATATTGACAGGGGTTTCATAGACAATGTTCTTCATATGACCCCACAGGAAATAATCAAGTGGGGATAAATCCAGCGACCGGGCGGGCCAGGGCCCCGGACCACCTCTTCCGATCCATCTTTCCCTGAATGTTCTGTTGAGGTACTCTCTTACAACAACTGCAAAATGCGGGGGTGCCCCGTCATGTTGAAACAACATACGTGTCGAATATTTAAGAGGACATCATCTAATAATTCAGGTAAGGCCTCTTCGAGAAAATTTAAATAAATGGGGCCGGTCAGTCTTGGCGGCAACACATAAGGACCTATCAAATTGTTGTTAATAATACCCGCCCATACATTGATGCTAAATTTGTGTTGATGACCATTGGGAATAATAGCATGGGGGTTTTCTTCACTCCACAAATGATTATTATGTAAATTGAAAATACCGTCTCTAGTAAAACTGGCTTCATCAGTAAAGAGAATTGATCTTGGAAATTGAGCACTTTGTTCAAATCGGTCTAGCAACCAGCGACAGTACTCCCATCGTGGTGCATAATCGTCTGGAAGTAACGGTTGTACCTTTTGAAAATGAAAAGGGTGAAGTTGTTGCTCTTGTACGACTCTCCACACGTTGACATGGCGTGTTTGTAAAGTCCGAGCAATTCCTCGGGTACTTGCTCTTGGATTTTCTTCAATCAGATGAAGTACATATTCTTCAAACTGTGGGACCCTACGGCTTCTTTGCCGCCCGCAGTCTCTTTTATTAGGTTTAAAACTTCCGGGTTCCCTCAGGCGTCTCTCAATTCGAGGAAATATTCGGTCAGACGGCGCGGCGTTCGACGATTTGGAAAACGCAGCGAATACAGGCGTTGTGCAGCTCTGCCATTACCGCGTGTTTCACCGTAAATTTTGATCATATCAGTGTATTCATTATTAGTAAAAACATCCATTTTTATCACACTTTTAACAATTTTAAACAATTAAAAATTAACACTCAGCAGTATGACATTTAATTAAATTGACACTCTTAACAGTTCTGAGGTAAGTTGTTTTCAATGGTAACTTAGTTTTTTTCCTATATCCTTTTTAACGGACGTAATTTTGAACAGTTTCTGTAAATTTTACTCGCCAAATTGATAAAAAAAAGTTAAAATCTATCTGTTGTTAAATTTCGTTAAAATTGTTAATTATTACTACCTATTTTTTGAATTACAAAAGATTTTCGAAACGTTAGCAAAATGTTTGCTTTTGTTCATAAAGTCATTTTTCTTGAAAACGGTTGACTTTAGAGCAATGAACCAAGAGAACTCTTATTGTGTAAAATTCATTGGCGCTTTAGAATTTGCTGTCAGAAGTCAATTTTTCCAGTGGCGTAAAATTTAGGGGGGAAAAACCCTTACGATACCTTAAAATCTCCACCACTGGCACGTCCAATGAATTCGAGAAGGGTGCGAAAAAGTAGCTATTAATAGTGGTAATGTGTGTACAAAAGCTCAGTCCTATAGTTCAAACGATTCCTAAGATATTGGCGAAAAACTAAAAAAAAATTAAAGTTTTGACACCGTGTATCTCGAAAACGAAAGCCCGGAGAGAAAAATGGAAGAGGAAAATATTTTTTCTTTTTTCAAGAGGAATTTACAGTTTTCCGTTGCGACACTTATTTAGGAACACCCTGTATATTATAGCCTAAAAATTAGGTGCCAAGTTATACATCTGCAATGTTTGAGCTGGGATTATTTGTAAATTTTATATATATTTATTTTACCTATTTATATAAAATAAAAGTGGTAATGTTTTTTTTAAGGAGGAAGTAGTAAATGTGGACACTAAAAAATCAGATGAAGATGTCGAGCAAGAGCAGCTTAAGTGTTTAGAGAAAACCTTCGAAATGATTAAACTGGATAAATTGAAAAAGATTATGGAAAGAGAAATTTGCAAAAATAAGAAGCTTAGAGAATTAAAAAATCGGAAATGGAAGAATCTGTATTAAAGTATTAGTATCTATTGTACCTATGAGAATTTAGTATGAAATATAAATTTGTCATGTGCCAATATGTAACTATATGGAACTAAAAATGAAAAGTAGCTGCCCATCTGCCCATCAAATTTTCTTCTGTATATTAATAACTAAAATTAAATTAATTTTAATTTTGATCCTGAATTTTTTAAGGCTTTTAAGGGATATTAAAAATTTGTAATAAGAGAATTGAGGTTTTCTAATTATACTATCTATATAAATAAAAATGTTTTTCTGTTGGTGTTGTTGGTTGTAAATGTTGGTAAGCGCATCACTTGAGAACGAAATGATTTAGCTATTTTTTTTTAATGTTTGTAATAGACTGAATAAGCTTTTTAGTGAAAGAAAAATTAGAAAAGTTGTCCGGAAAATTGAAAAATTCGGGAAATAGTCAATGCAAAGCGTGGCAAGGTTCACCTAGTTAATTATAAATTTCTAAAATTAAAAAAATACCTACGAACAGATATTAGGAATTACCAGTATATTTTAAAAAAAATAAAATAAAAAATAAAAATACTGGCAAACTCTTTATTTTGTTGCAGGTACAATATAAAATGTATTTCTCTGTTAAGACTCTCATAAAAATAATGTAACATAAGCCTATTTTCAGGCCCACTACTGATTCGATTCAACATTTTAATTTGATTCGACAATTTGTTTCGATGCGATATTTCCATTCGATTCAATATTCTGATTCGATTTTTTCTGGGAATCAATGAATCAATTCAAAAATAGAATTGATTCGAATCGGTGTATCGATTTTTTGCCCAGACCTATCACTGATCTTGACACTGGAAAGGGAACCGGTTAAACTTAAAAACTGTTCTGAGTTTAGGATAAATGGATCAGCTATTTTATCAAATCTTAACAGTTTCAGAATCCAGTCATGATTAGCATGAAAAATAACAATAAACTTGCACATTTTAATAAAAGTTATAACAATGAACGTTTTGTTGTGTTAGGTTGTAGAATAACACGCATTAAAAATTTATGCTTGACTTTAATGTTAGACGTTCTGTCCCTGTTCCATTTAGAAACAGTTACCCGTAATCAGATATATCTTTAAATTCTGGAAACAGCTATTAGTGCTCCACCTGATCTCAGATCATAGTTTCCAAAGAGAAATTGTGACATGAAGAGCAACACAAACATAAAATTAAGTATAAAAAAATTACAGGTAAGTATTTTGATCATAGCTCGACATAATTTTTTAACAAGAAAGGAAAAGTGAAATTGTCTGGATGAAATTTTTAAAATAAAGCATGTTTAATTTATAAGTACACGGTATTAACACTGTAAGTAAAAAAAAAAAAACACGATAGTTGAATATTTTATTTTCTATTATCTTGAGTTTTGTTAACTTAATTATTCCGAATTAATGTCATGCACTCATGTTCATATGAACTTTTTATCTTAAAATTAGTTAAAGATTCACTTTAAAATTTATACAAGTACTTAATAAACACCCTGTATATTAAAAAGTTATACACCCAGTAATATCCATTATGTTTTATGGTTGTAATTTTTTCCATCAACACACAGCTTGGTATAATTCGTTACATAAGCGTTACACAAGGAAAACGAAAATTTTAATTTATATTCTTGCATTCGTTATTACATAAACTGCACCATCTTACAACAGTTAGAATTGTTTGTTTCATAAATAACTCTTTTAAACTCATATTATGACGATCTGATTTTGTCTTGTTTTCTCCAAATTTGAATTTGACGCCATTTGACGCAGTCGCATATCAACAATCAGCTTGCGCACGAAGGAAGTCGTCCATTTTCTTTTTACTTGCACCGGTAAAGAAGCACATGTGCTTTGTTAATAATTTTTAAAAGGCTGGTTCATCGTAAAGCAAATTTTAAAGGATTCGTACAGTTGACAGTAGTGCATTGTACATTAGAAAGTGATTTAGAAAACAAAAACAAAAATGAATACTGAAAAATTAAAGAAATTGCAGTCACAAGTAAGGATTGGCGGTAAGGGTACCCCACGACGCAAGAAGAAGGTTGTACATTCAACTCAAGCTACAGACGATAAGAAATTACAGTCATCTCTAAAAAAATTGTCAGTAAATACAATTCCTGGTATCGAAGAAGTAAATATGATTAAGGATGATGGATCAGTTATCCATTTCAACAACCCCAAAACACAAGCTTCTTTAGCTGCTAATACATTTGCCATTACTGGTCATGGAGAAAACAAACAAATTACAGATATGTTGCCAGGAATTCTGAGTCAGTTGGGGCCCGAGGGCATTACTCAACTCAAACGATTAGCCAATACAGTGGCTAACGCAGGAGGTGTAGGTAAAATTGTCCCAGAGGATGAGGAAGATGTGCCAGATCTAGTAGAGAATTTTGATGAAGCCTCAAAAGCCGAAGTTGCAAAGAAAGACGAAGAGAAGCCAAAGGAAAATTAAAAGGTGTGTTAATCGTTACTCATCGGTCAAGAAGAGGTGCATAAGTTGATTCACCCTTATAATTATGTTCGGAGAAAACGTTTTGATATATTTAATGTGTTAACTAATCTACAAAACTTTTTGTTAAATTAGACAACCTTGTGAATAGAATATTTCGTAGGAAATATATAAATATTCTACTATAGTTTGTATTATTTACTTTATTAATGCAGTGGAAAAATAGTTGGTTATAATCTCTGTTTACTGGTCAAGTTTTTGAAGACCTTCAGGGTATTTGATAAAGAATCTTAGGTCTTCCTGTTTTGTTCTAATATTGATGTAAATGACAAAGTAGGTATCTATTTAATTCTTAAAATATTGTAAACTAAAAGAATTTTTTATTAATTTTTAAAGTGCAAAAATATGAATGTTAAAAAAATTGTAATATACTCATTAAATTTTTATTGCGTTTTTATATTCTCTAAATAACATTGTGATTTGTGATGACGTTTGTATTTGGAATATTTATGTACACAATATTTTTAAATGGTGTCGTATGTCAGAAATGTTGACAGTAGGTATTACGATTGGTTGATTATAGAACTGGTAGTTAAATATATTAAGAAAATAATTATTACTATATATTTACAGTACTTTTATTTATAGTGATACTTCATTAATATTTATAATTATTATAATGTCCATTTGGATTACATATAAAAAATGAATATTGGTTTCAATTCAAATAAACTTGAAATTTTATTTCTATGTATATTTGTTACTATTTAAATAGCGAATATTTAAATAATATACAGAATACCTACTTGTAAGCAGTAAACAGCAGATAATTTTAACTTTGTTTTTAGAAAATGGATTTTTATGACAATTTTAGTATATTTTGCAGTAATAAAGAAAACGCAACAAGAATGTAGGAAATACCCTATTATATTTTCATGTTCTATGTTTTACCAAAATTATGGTACATTCTTTTATTATGTTAATAACCTTTTAATAATTTTCAACAAAGATCTTATTATCTATTATCTTATACCTATCTTATTTCAAATTAAGCACGCATTTGAAGCGCAACCCGCATTTACTATTAAGTATTAGATATTTATTGAAATGAAATTTTTAAATAGAATTATTAGATTCGAAAGATTTTTTAGGTTTGCATTTTGTTGAATCTACTTCTAATAGTAAGATCATTCCAGAGCAACTAATATAAAACAAAGTGTACCTAACTATTTTTCTAAAACGATTAATACAATATTTACCACCTTGGACTTAAAACAACATTCCTTTATCGTTATTTTTCGATATTTATAATTGGGTTAATTGTTTTCGATGATTTTAAAATCAAGAAAATAGTAATATTTTTAAGAGTTTAAGGATAAGAATGACATTTTTTCTTTTTTTAAAGGAATTAAGTATATCAAATTCAAAAGAAACATTTTCCTAAAAATCCTATGAATTTAAACAATGTTCTTTGATACCAAAAATCTATAGGTATGCAACACAGAGTACCAATTTGTGGTATGCAAGTATAAGTACCTATATAAATTGTTTAAATACATAAACAAGGATGCAACTATCAGATAAAAAAATATACTAGAGTTGAACAACATATACTAAACCTAAAAATTACCTTTGTTCATATGCTCATATTTTTAAGCCCGTCAACTGCATGTCAGACTACCAAAATTCCTTTTATTTGATTTTCCATTTTAAATAAATGGATAAAAAATTGACGTACCTATATCTATTACTTGGTTTAATTCTGTATTAAAGTAATTTATTCCAAAGTTTATCTCACATTGTTAATTAACAAAAGAAATTGTATATTTAAAAATAAATAGAAATTAAATGCTTGATACAAAAGCAGTATAGGTACACTTTTTATACAGGGTGTCCGGAAATTATGCGTCAAGACTTCAGGAGGTGATTCCTCACATTAGGGTCACAAACTCCTATAACAATTTTTCGAAAACTCGATATTAACGGAGATAGAGTGTGTCAAAATTTTTATTTTTTTTTTTAGTTTTTCTTAGATAACTTATTTTTTATTTGATTTTTTCCAAGTCTTTCCTATGTATTACTAGTGCCCTTGTAGATTTATGTTCCAAATATGATGCAAATATTCCAGTGCCAAAGGGCCTAACCTGACCTTAATCTTCGATCCATGGGCTACAACTTTTTTGTTTTCACCATGTTAAAGAGTATAACAAATTATTTAAAAAAGTATCTCTTGTTGCGATCCAATAAAATGAACCGTTTCTGAGAAAAACGACTTCAATCATTTTCATGTGTTAACGCTATTTTAAACTGATATTCACAGTTTCAACTCATCAATATAAAATTTATTCACTAACTACATTATTAAGTAACATTTTTATTTAGTCTATGCTCTTATAATAAGTTCTCGCAACAAGAGATACTTTTTTAAATAATTTTTGATACTCTTTAAAATGGTGCTGTTCATTTATAAAGCGGTGAAAACAAAAAAGTGGGCCATAGATCGAAGAATAAGGTCAGGTTAGGCCGTTTGGTACTGGAGTATTTGCATCATATTTGGAACATAAATCTACAAGGGCACTAGTAATACATAGGAAAGACTTGGAAAAAATCAAATCACAAATAAAAAAGGAATCTAAGAAAAACTAAAAAAAAATTTTTTTTTGACGCCCTGTATCCGTTAATATTGAGTTTTCGAAAAATTGTTATAGGACTTTGTGACCCTAATTTTTGTGAGAAATCACCTCCTGAAGTCTTGACGCATAATTTCCGGACACACTGTATGTATACGAATAAACGTCGGTAGAAGGGGGAGGGGGAGCAGGGCTATGCATGGCCCACTAGAGAAAAATAGATCCAATAGTATCATCTAAGTCTATTACATGTCCTTTTTAATAAATTTGTTTTTTGTAAATACGTATATATTATTTTATTAGTCCTAGTATACATCATTTTAAAGGCATTAATCTAATTAAAATAAATTTATTTATTTTTTCTAAAAATCCTATCAAATGAAATTAAACAATGTTTTTTAATACTAAAAATCTAAGTGTGTAATAGATATAGAAATACAGATAAATATTAATTTATACTATAGATATTATACATATACTTAGTAACATAATTCAAAGCTAGTTGGAGCATTTAGCCCATAAAGTTGTTTCTCTCTATATCATCAGTTAAGAATCGATGAACTTTTTCTCGACTTTAGCTGATAAGTTGGACAAAGTAAAAATACCACAATTAATAATAAAATATTTATTAAAAAAAATAAATTTGGTGAAAAGGGCAAATATATTGGTTAGCTAAAAAGACAATTCACATTAATCTAATCATATTGTCAACAGTGTCAACACTAGACACTGTCGTTTCAAAAATTCATTTGTTCTATAAGTTTTGCGTTTGGTATATAATTTTGTTCTATTCTAATATTTATTAATTTCATTTAAGTACAAGGACGGCACTTCAAAAAGCTATCCTAAAGTAAAAGGTAGAAATAGTAAGATATTATCTATAGTGGCTATTAGCGTGTTGGTCTTTATTGTCAAGGGTGATGGTAATACAGCAACAAAATACAAACTTTCAATTTTCAATTTTTATTTAGATAATAAAGTTTTGAAATAGCTTAAGAACGGAAATTGAAGTCCCGTTTCATCTAACAAAGTACTACAATATTCATATAGATGTCGCTACAGGAAATACGTTTATAGTAAAAATAGTACGATTATTCATTCATTCAAATTCCGGCAAAACACACCTAAAAAAAACGAGAAAATGCCAGGTGCACGCACACGTGCACAATGAGTTGTCCGCTCAGAGTAATAAGTAAAGGGGAGGTCGCATTCCCTATTTCAGTACACAATGTAAACATGTAACATCAACCTATTGTATGTTGATAAACAAATGATACATAAGTAAACACAATGGTCCCTGGTACAGTGGCGTACCGAGTTTAGGTTTAAAATCTATCATAATATAAGGAAACCATAAAAATTACACTTTTTAATAGAATAAAATCAAAAGTGCTCGATTATTTAAGCTTTCATGTGTAATAAATAGACAATAAATAGGAAAAAGTTAATGGTTTCTTCAAAATCTATAATTAATATTTTAAAAACATTTCCAGAACAAAAGAGTGACTAAAGAAAACTCCTCGATTGAAACTATCATTATACTATAGCTATAGCAATGTCATTGCCTACTATTAATTCTATTATTTCATAGTAGTTCTCGATTACTGGAAGAACATTTATTAAAATAAATAATTTAAATAAAACTACAAGAAAAGGAGCAAAAATATATTT